TGTTAGACACACAGGGAGACAAAATACCCATACAAATAAAAATAAATAGAAAAATTCAGCTCTGGTTGTCCTGGAACTCACTTTGTAGACCAACCTGGCACCCAACTCGCAGAGATCTTCCTGCCTCTGCCTCTCAAGTGCTGGGATTAAAGGTGTGTGACACCACCACCCGGCAAATAAAGACTTTTAAAATGTTTCAAAATGCACTTTTCTATTCAAAGAAAGGCAGTCTGAATAGCGACGATTCAACTCAGCATTGTCAACCAAAACCAAACTACATATTGTTTTGGGAAGAACAATAGTTTAAGAGTGATCTACCCGGGGCTGGAGACATGGCTCAGCAGGTTCGGTTCTTTGTATTTCTGGGGGTTTCTCAAAACCTTTTGCATTTTAGACAGACTGTAGACTATGTGAATTGTAAACTATGTATATAAACAGGCTGTTTTAACCAAAGAATGATCCTTGGGATTGTCTGGTCACGAAAACCTTTCTGGGCTGGAAAGATTGCTCAGTGGATTTTTGTTGTTGTTGTTGTTGCTGTTTTTTTGGGGGGGGGATTTATTTCTTAGCATCTAGAACAGGTACTCATAACCAGTAGATTTAATGCTCTCTTCTGGAGAGAGCTCTCAACTGCATACGTGTGGTACACATACAGACACATACATACAAAAAAAAAAATAAATCTTGATGAAACCAAAAAACAACTTTTCAACCTGAGGACCCCCCCACTGCAATACCCCCACACCACCACCTCCACCCCCATCCCCACTCTCTCCCCATCCCCAACCCCACCCCACAGTGTGAAGCAGATCTGGATCTTGCTGTTGAGCGCTGGTTTCCCAAGGGCACATTTTCCTTTACTTCATAGGGACTAACAGAAAATTCCTGAAGATTGAGTGGGTTGATAGACCCGTTTCTCCGGTTTCCCTGAGTTAGTGTGAATTCTTCCTCCAGAGAGATGAAAGGGAGTTTGACTTCGACCTATTCTGGGTAGAGCAGTTTAGAAGTCTCTCATCCCTCAAACTAACTGGGAACAGATCCAGGTTCTGGGATCATGATTCTGAGTGTGGAAATTCACGCATTCATTTCGTATTATCTAAGACACTTGGGTTCCAGAGGCAACAAATGAGCTGGAATTTGATTACCAAAATGGGAAAAATGTGGGGGGAAAGTATTTGGCTGTTTCCTAGAGCATAGAAATGCAGGTGGGTTTCAAGGACAAGAAGAAGCAGTTCTTGGAGACCCCTGGGACTCCAGCTCCCATCTGGCCTTTCTTCTCTGCTTGGCTGGTATGTTTCAGCTGAGCGCTTACAGTCTGGTTGCACACTGAGTGACCCGCTTTTTGTTTGTTCAGTTCTGGTTTGAAATCCACGGGAAAGCTTGGGCATGCTAACACGTACCAAGCTGAGGCAGGAGGGTATTAAGTTGAAGGCTAGCCTTGGCTATGGAGTGAGACCCTGTCTATTTTTAATTAAAGAAATTAAAAATAAATAATACAAATCAAGCAAATTACAGGGAGAAACCTTGGCTTGGGCCTGGCTTGAGTCAGAGCAGGGCGGGACACCTATCTGCTGAAGACTTAGCTGCGCTGGGCCGTGCACTTATCATGACATCACAGGTGACAGGGCTGGATAATGAGGCCATATCGTATCGACGTGGGCTTCTTGATAAAAACATTTCCTTCCGGAAGGAAATAGGAGTTATGCGGGGCGGTGGTGGCGCACACCTTTAATCCCAGCACTCAGGCAGTGGCAGGTGGATCTCTGTGAGTGAGTTCGAGGCCAGCCTGGTCTACAGAGCACGTTTCAGGACTGACTCCATGGATACTGGCAAACCCTGTCTTGAAAGAAAAAAAGAAAAAGAAAAAAAATAAAAACGGAGAAAAGAAAAGAAATGTAGGCATCGTTTTGCTAACAGACAAGCACTGAGTCGCTCCTTATTTCTGTGTCTGTCTCTTAGTGATTTTCCTGTTCATATCCTGTCCTCTTATACTTGGAAAGGAGAGGGGGGGCTTTACAATTTTTATTAACTATTTGATCAACTAGTTAATCTATTGTGAGTGTATGTCTGGACTTGTGTGTGTCACAGTGTGTGTGTGTGTGTGTGTAGGTCAGAGGACAATGTGTGGATGTTGTTTCTCTTCTTTCACCATGTAAATTCCAGGGATAGAACTCAGGTTATCAGTCTTGGTGGCTAGCACCCTTATCCACTAAGCCATCTCATTGGTCCCAAAGGCTGCTTCTGATGACTTTCATCTGATGCTTGCCTACCTCTTTCTCATTCCTCACAGCCACAGTGGCTGTCCCTTCTCTAAATTCCAGCCTGTCTGTCTGTCTTCTAAGCCCTCTGCAATGAACTGGAACCTTCTGCTCCCCCTATCTTCTTCCAGCTTCAGAGATGTTCAGGGGCAACCAGACAAACACAAGCTATTGAGACGAGGCCAGAGTGCCAAACAGATGCCAGGACAGAAGCGTGCCAGGTTAGTGTGAGTTTTTGTTCCCTGCCTCCAACCACAGAGATGCTTAAGAAGTGGCTGAGCAGTTCACCCTCTGCCTTTAGCCATGGTACCTACAAAGCCAAGTGGTGATTTGAAACCGTTTCTGGCTTATGTTGAGAAATCCCTGTCACATGCACTGGAAATACCCAGAATAACAACCAGAGCTTTGTTCTCACACGCTTTGCGGTGGTTTCTGAACGAAGAAAAGACTATTTAGGAGCTGGGGAGATGGCTCAGCAGTTAAGAACACTGACGGCTCTTCCAGAAGACCTGGGTTCAATCCCCAGCACCCACATAGTAGCTTAAAGCGTCTGTAACTCCAGTTCCAGGAAATTCGGTTCCAGGGGATGTGACATCTTCACAAGTAAATGCAGGCAAAACACCAATGCACATAAAATAAAAATAAATAAAGTTTTAAAAAAGAATATTTAAAACTTACTGGGGAAAGTTAGGGGCTGGAGAGATGGCTCAGGGGTTAATGGCACTGGCTGCTCTTCCAGAGGTCCTGAGTTCAATTCCCAGCAACCACATGGTGGCTCACAACTATATGTAATAAGACATGGTGCCCTCTTTGAGCCTGCAGGGATACAGGCAGGCAGAACACTGTATACATAATTAATAAGTAAATCTTTAGAAAAAAGTCCTTTTTAAATTTTTTTTTCTTTTGGACGGGGTTTCCCTGTGTAGCCCTGGCTATCCTAGAACTCCCCCTGTAGACCAGATTGTCCTGGAACTCAGAGATCTATTCGTCTCTGCCTCTGAGTGCTGGGTTTAAAGGCGTGCCATGCCCAGCTCAAAACTTCACTTTTAGTTTAACAGATGAGTAAATTTTGCAAAGGTCTAGCAGATACAACTATGGGAAATTAGGCCACCGCCAACTTGTGTGGTTCATGTAGCTTTCACCCTTATAAATGTTAAAAAATAGAAATAATAATATTTCATAGCATTTGGATTCTTTTTTGAGACAGGGACTCTTTATGAGCCACCAGACCTGGCTCATTTTTTAAAAAGTGTTTTTTTTTGAATGTGAAAAATCATTTTTAATCAGGTATAAACACCATTTTCAAGAAAACGATAGTAAAATGATAACAAGTTACATGTTTGTAAATACACAAATACCCACTATACCAAGATTTCTTATTACCAATACATTATCATGGGTTTTAAAAACAATTCTGGCCAGGCGGTGATGGCTACAGAGGTAGTTCCAGGACAGGCTCCAAAGCTACAGAGAAACACTCTCTCAAAAATACAAAACAAAACAAAACAAAACAACCCAATTCTGAAGTCTTTTATATTTAGTTCTTATTTTTCTGAGCAGAAAGAGATTAAGTGATGGCAAAAGACCGTTCCCATTGCCAGTTACTGGAAGTGAAAGCAGACACCGTCCTAACCAAAGGCTATTGTACTGCCTGAGATTTGGCTGGACTTGAGAGGCACAGTTGCAGACAACTAACTCTATGGGGGGGATTCTACTACCTTTCCTTTCCCAAGTGCCTTTAGGAACCTGCAAACTTAAAGGGAATTCATCTTGGACACACACAATCTAAATATTATGAAGGGTGCTACTTTGAAAGATATCCACCTGTCTTCTGGTTAGATGATGAGAGACACATCTCTGGGGTTAAAATGTTTTACCTTATTGCTATTGTGGGGCATGCGCACACAACCCTGCACACTTGGAGGTCAGAGGACAACTTGTGTGAGTCTGGTTGGAACTCAGGTAGCCATGCTTGCTTGGCAAGTGACTTTATCATATGTGCCGTCTTGTTGACCCTTTCCCCTCCAACTTTTTTTTTAAAAAGGGAAATGTCAAAAAAAATACTTTATAAATACATAATTATACATATAACATAAAATAAAAATAAATAAATAGGCAAGTACATGTATTTACTATAACAAGACCTTTGTTGGAATCTTGAGCTACTCTGTATTCCGAGAGCATTAATTACTATTATTAATATTATTTATTATTATTATTATTCCCGAGACAGGGCTACTCTGTGTAACAGCCCAGACTACACTGGAACTTGCTTAAGTAGACCAGGATGGCCTTGAATTCAGAGATCCGTCTGCCTCCCAAGCTTAAAGGTATGCATCACCACTACACAGCCCCAGCATTCTGCGGTATTTAAAATGGCAGCTTAAATTTGGGTAGCTCATATTTTGCCATGGAGTTTATTAAATGTCACAGAAAAGCTAACTTTTCTTTTCGTTCTAGCTCTCCCTTTCCTCTTCTCTCTTTGTCTCTCTCTCTTCCCTCCCTCCCCACTTCTCTTGGAGACAGGCTCTCAATTTAATTCTGGCTGTCTTGGAACTCACTATGTAGACCAGATTAGCCTTGAACTCATGGAGATTCACTGTCTCCACTTTTACACACACAGTGGCAGTATGAGTTTAGGGGTTCTTTTTTTTTTCCTCTGAACTTCCGCTTCCGGTTTCTGCTTTTCCAGCTTTCACTGAAGGCTTGGGCACTAACTACCCGGAAACTGTCCTTCCCCGTCCTCACCCTTCCCCTTCCTTCCCTCTCCACCCGGCGGGTCTCTGGCCCGCCTTGCCCAGGGGTGAAGCTCCGGTGGAGTTCAGGAAAGACTACATTTCCCAGAGTGCATCGCGGGACAGAGTCCTCCAACCAGAGCGCTCCAACCGGCGCCATATCTGTGGAGGGAGTGGTGGTGCGGCCTGTGAACATGGCGCTGTTCCCGGCCTTTGCGGACGTAAATGAGGCCTCCGGTGGTGGGGCATCCAGGAAAGGTAAGCAGCCAAAGAGAATCGAACGAGACAACCGATGATATTAATGGCAGTTTTCCCGGGCCCTGGCCTTTGACCGGTGTCTTGGATTTGTTTATCCATTTGTGTCCCAGAGTTCTTCGCGGCGCTGCAAAGCCTTCTGGGTCTTGTCCGAAGTGTGGAGCCAATGGCTCTTTTAGGCACTAAGGTGGTCAAGTTAGGGAAGGGTTAACCGAGACTATGGGGTTTATCATATTTTTGGACCTCATTCTCCTAGAAGCTGCAATGATACAACCCCATTGCACAGAGAAACCCACTTCAAACACTTGTAATTGTGGCTAGTGTAATTCTGGTTTCTCTTTCCTAAATTGTAACCCCCAACAAAGTCCGAGTCTGTCTGTTCGTTGTAGCACTCTTACTTGTCAGCACAGGTCCAAAATATAGATGTGTTCAGAGTGTACAGAATGTGTGTACGGATAATGCAACGTGTTGCATAAATGAAGCAAAAACTACACAGTATAAGGTTGAATGCTGCAAATGTCATAGATGAGCCACAATTAGCAACATCATAGAGTGGAACGTTCCAAGGTTTTGTAAGCGTTGATTTTGGAATGGGTAGGATTCGAACAGATAAGAGCATTCAGGGACCTTCAAAGGCCTGTGGAAGAGAAACAATACTTATTTAGATAAATGTAAACCCAGCTATCATAATGAAATTAACTGGTGTTTAGGTGCATAAAATATATTTAATACTGAAGTGTAAGATCCAGTTTGAAGGGCTGAGGGAGGTGGCACACGCCTTTGATCCCAGCGTTTGGGAGGCAGAGGCAGGTGGATTACTTTGTGTTCAAGGCCTGCTTAGTATACATGGAGAGTTCCAGGTAGCTGGGGTTATATATAGCGAACTCTCTTAAAAGCCAAAAACAACAAGAAAATTAACTATATTGATACATCATATAGCTACAAGTCTATACAAGTTTAGCTTTTCCAGGTTTGTCTCAACTTTTTACAGTTGATTTGCTTGTGAGGATCCAAAAGAAGTCAGAATCCTCATTGTATTTTTCTTTTCTAGACAGGGCGTCAGTTTGTAGCCCTGGCTGGCCTGGAACTCACAGAGATCTGCCTCCTTAGTGTTGGGATTAAAGGCCAGTGCCACCATGCCAGGCACACTGCATTTTCCTCGTGTAACCCTTTGTTCTCTTTCATTCAAAAACAGTTCACGCTCTCGTATTTTCTCAGGCGATTTATTTGTTGAGGAAACTGGTTGTTTGTCCTGAGGATGTTTCCCACCAAATCTTTATGTAACATGCTTCTTTATCCCATTTCCTACAAACTAATGATTAGATCTCAAGAACTGAAGAAATTTAGGTATAATTTTTTGTCGTTGAAGATAGCATGTTTGGAGTGCTGCATGGATGATAGGAAATCATTTTAGGAGGATCCAGTCTTTGATTTCAATGCCATTAAGATTGCCCAGTGAATTCATATGTTCCCAACTCATATCTCTTGGAAAGTTGCCCACCAATCAAACTTTTTAAGTTTTTTTATTTGTCTGCATATATATCTGTACCATGTTCATGCCTAGTGCTCTCGGAGGCAATATGAGGACACCAGCTCCCCTTGGACTGATGTTATAGATGGCTGTGTCTCCATGGGGGTGCTGGAAATTAAACCTGGGTCCTCTGAAGAACAGCCAGTGCTCTTAACCACTGAGCCATCTCTCCAGCCTCTCCCTCGCACTTTTATCTAATGATTTTGTGGTAAAGATGTTTTTTATTTTCCAGGGACTCACGGTGGGACCCAGACTAGCCTCCAACTCGTAATCGTCTTAAATGAACAAAAGAAGGAACATAGGTTCTCCTGATTCTAGGACTTGCATTATGAACTGTATTTTTTTTTTTTATTGCAGTGCTGGGGGTATTGTAATTTAAACATTATCTTTGCAGTTGCTGGGCTGCGTCATAGGGTAGGTCAATTCCCAGGAAAGCGTCTACTGTGGCCATCTTGCGTGCCATTCTCAGCTCTGTTTGCTGATATTTTTTTGTATAAGCGAGTTTGTGCTCCCAGCTTCTTTGCTGGAAAGTGGGGGCTCTAGAGCAAACGAAGGGCTTGGCTTATTCTTAAAAGAGTAAACATCTTAATATCCGTGCTAATGTATTTGTATCATCCACCCTAGAAATGCTGTTTGAAAGGTCACCCTGGAAGGGTGGCCACTCACCTCTGGAGGCCACTCAGACAGATTAGAAGCCAGTGCTACTTTGCAGAAATGGATGTTGAACTTGGATATGTTATCCAGTTGCAACTGAAGACCTATTCTTAAAGCTCAAGCTTATTCATGTCGGTTTGCTCCTCTGCCTGTGGTGGAACTGAGCAAAGGCATTTCCGGTAGTGATGGAGAAGTAGGTGCCATGGTAAACACTCCTCAGAGGCATGTCAGTGTTGAGTGCTTGCTGATGGACCGTCACCTTGCTTCTGTCAGGTTTCCCTGAAGGGGTAGGGCCCGAGGGTCCCAGCAGCAGGTAGGTGGAAGGCAGGAGTGGTTTTTGTGTGGGATATTTCCCTCTCTTTCTTTCTTACCTGTGTGTATATGCGAGTATGGTGCCAGGCTCTCAGCAAGTTCTAACCTGAGATGTCTGTGTCGAGGCTTGTGTTTCTTTACATTTCTTCCCCTGCCATCCCTGTTAGAGTGTTGGTGGTATGAAGGTCCACCGGATGCTCTGAGACCATCTCTCCTGCACAGTTTGTTCCGTCTTTCCCACTTTTCCTTTGTTTATGATGGAATCTGATCGCTGTGGAAATGTTCTGATCTCAGTGAGCAACGAGGACTATTTTTACCTAGCTCGTGCCAGGAATGAGGCCCAAGGGAAAGGAACCAGTCTCAGAAAGGACATGGAGACAGGAGGAGAAACAGCGTGAGCCGTTGGTTAGCAGTAGGTAGGACCTTACAGAGGACTTACTCCCTTCAAGCACTATTTCCACAAAAATACTGTTATAGTACTTCCCTAGAGCTGGCCTGTTGAGATTTGAAAGATGGAAAGGCCGTATGTGCTTGTCCTGGTGTTGACGTACTCTGGGCACTTCCATTAGTTTCTCCTTCCTTGTTTCCTGTGCTTTTTAATATTCCCTTTCTTCTTTGGAATCTTCCAGTCCTCATTCCTCTCTTTCCTACAAATATTTGTTGAACACCTGCTATATGCCAAGTATTGCCGTAGCTGCTGGAAATAGGGCAGTAAGTTAGGCAAAGCACACATCTTCTGTAAGCTTGCATGCTGCCTGTCTCTTTTTATTACATGTTTACATGAGGGACTAGATTCCAGAATATATAAAGAACCTGTGGAACTCAATATTAAGAGGACCCAATTTAAAGATGGGTAAAGAATTTGAATAGCTGTTTCTTCAGAGATGATCCATAAATGACCAATATGTAAGTGAAGAGGTGTTGATGTTATTGTCATAAGGAAAGTGGAGACAAAGCCACAGTGAAATAATCCACCTGCTAGGCTAATTGGAAAACCAGCGGAAGTGTTGGTTAGATGCCTAGAAATGGACTCTTTGTGTGCTGCTAATGGGAACTGGATGATGCAGCTATTTGGTAAAGTACATAGTCTGGCAGTTCCTCGGAATGCTAACATGGCTTTATGATCTGATCTAGCAATTGTCTAAATATCCACTCAGGAAGAAATGAAAGCACTCATGGAGAACCTGTACACATATGCTCTTAGAAGCATGGTTGAAATAGCCACAGAAAAGAAATAACTCAAGTATCTGCCGGCTGATGAATAGACACGAGTGAGTTGCATCACCAGATGCCATATATTTGGCAATAAAAAGAACGATGTAATGATACATGACTGTAGTTTGAATGAACCTTGCAAACCAGAAAGTGGAAAAAGCCAGTTACAAAGCGCCACATTGCACATGAACTTTTCATATAAAATCTGTACTACACAGGCAGATGAGTTGAGGCAGAAAGTAGACAAGTGATGATATAAGGCTGAGGAGGGAAAGAGGGGCATGGTGGGGGCAGTGAAGGAATAGGAGATAACACAGACGTTTCTGAGGATTCTTCTGTATGCCATCCATGCTTTTTTCCTTCCTTCACAGTTATGATTTAGAAAGTTAGAAGGGACTCTGTGGAGGTATAAATTAGGGAATGTAGGAACAGTTCCTAAGAAGTTAGAGGGACAAAGAGATGGCTATACTGGTGAAGGCGTTTGTCGCCAGGTCTAATGACCAGAGTCCAATCTCCTGGCCCTCCATGTTGGAAAGAACTGACTCATATAAAAGCTGACCCTTCTACTAAATATATAATGCAATAAAGATTATTTTAAAAGAAGTGGGGATCTGGAGAGATGGCTCAGTGGTTAAGAGCACTGATTGCTTTCCCAGAAGATCCAGGTTCAATTCCCAGCACCCACGTGGCAGCTCACAGTTGTCCGTAACTCCAGCTCCAGAGGATTTGACACCCTCACACAGACATACATACAGGCAAGATGCCAATGCACATAAAATAAATAAATCATTAAAAAAAGAAGTTAGAAATTGTAGCTAAGCCAAAGTTTTTAAACATTTAATCATTCTACTCAGATGTAATCATTATTAATGTTTATATATTTTACTATTAAAGTTTGACATTTTATGGGCTTTTTTTTTTTTTTTTTTGAGACAGGGTTTCTTTGTAGTTCTGGCTGTTGTGGAACTGACTCTGTAGACCAGGCTGGCCTCGAACTCTCAGAGATCCCATTGCCTCTGTCTCCTGAGTATTGGGATTAAAGGTGTATGCCATCACTCCTGGCCCTTTTATTTTTATTTCCAAAGAATATTGCTGTAAGAAGAAGTTTGCTCTTGACTACACTAGTGTAGAACATGGAGCGTTTCTTGAGTGGTACATTCTCTCCCCTCCTGGTAAGCGTGTGGACTTTTCCTGTTTTGGAAACAGGATCTTGCCATGTTACAGAGCTGGGCTGCACACTGTAGCTCAGGCTGGACTTGAGCTCATGGCCCTTGTTTCTGCCTCCCACATGTCATGCTGGGTTACAGGCATGTGCTGCCATGGACGGCTGGCTTTCTAGTTTTTAGGAGTTTCCAAATAAAATTTGAGGGCTGGAGAGATGGTGCAGCAGGTTCGATTCCTAGGACCCAGGTCCCGAGACCAGCTGTGTTGACATGTTCAGACCCATTAGACGGCGGGTAGAGTGCATGAGCTCTTGCTATCTTTTAGGCCACGTTGGGTGTGTGGTTTTTGTTTAAGCCACAGCCCAATATTGCAATATCAATCTTAAATATTTTAGAATGTGTTAAAGCGTGCTCTGTGAAATAAAAATTTTATGGATTCTACTCGGTTCTGTGGACTGCCCAAGATTCTGGCTGATGATGGCTGTGATTACGGATGCAGGGTAGGATGGGCGGTTTCCTGGTCTAGAAGGTCTATGGCACTAATGTCATTCATCTTTTCTCTCTCTTGCATGTGCAGAATTAGACTGGCTGAGCAACCCAAGCTTTTGTGTTGGGAATCTAACGTCTCTGAGCCAACGGACTGAAGAGGTCACAGCCCTTGCTGCTGAAGGGTCACCACTGACAAGGTATTGTTTGACAGGTGGACTTAGCCTTGTGAACTGTTCATAGCCCCAGTGGTGCTCCCGAGAAAACCCTGAGATGGAAGAACTGGTAGAGTTCGTCTTTTTGCTCAGTGTCCAGGGAACCCGTGACCGTCTTCCCTCACGCCCCACCCCCGCCTTTGTATGGCAGTGACAGAAGTATGTGACACAGTTAGTGCCTGTAATTAGGCCAGGAGGGAAATGGCATCGTTGTGACTCTCCAGTACCTTCATTGACCTCATTAGTGACCTTAAGAATATTGTTAATTTGGGTATTTCTTTAGTTTCATTTTCAACATTTAGATAAAAATAGCTGATATAAGGTAACAGAGGCTAAAGTCTCCTAGGCTCATTGGGGATCTCGATGACACACATCTTCCCTGGCTGTGAAGGCAGGCTTTGTGTATCGTTGAACTGAGAAATGTGCGTTCGCAGTTAGAGACTAGATGGCCTCATTAACATGGTGAAGACCTCATTCATACTCCGTATACACAGTAAGCCCCTGGAAATGATGGGTGATGACCAGGATGGAGTTTGTAATTGGTACAGTTCTGAGGAAGAAGAGCTGTTGTCACCTTTACAAAGAAGGACCACAGTTAAACCTTTTTTCCTCTAGGATGTCCACTGGGGTAGTAACAATCTCTAGTAATGCTGCCAGACAGTTTGCTGGAGGGACTAGTAGGTCACTTTTTCCATGAAAGCCGTGGACACAGGAAAGCACAGGTGTAGAGTGTTAGGATGGTGTCCTCACCTGTTTTGACTCTGGGTTCCGTCCTAAAGTCTCTAAGGTGAGTTTAACTCAGGAAGGTATTGTGTAGTGTACGGGTTAGTAGTGAGCATGTGTCAGCATTTGTGCTGCTTTGCACATTCTTTACTTATGTGTGATTTCCTCCTTCTTCTCTTTTGAAAGTCATCCCAAAGTTGATCTTTCCAACAGGAGTCCTCTGAGGTCAGAACTCTCCGGTGAGAGTGACACTAGCAAAACAGCCCCCCAGGTTAGCAGAAAAAAGAAGAAAGAGAAGAAGAAAAAGAGGAAACATCAGCACCGCAAGAAAACTAAGAGGAGACACGAGCAGTCGAGCAGCGGTGGGTCTGAGTCAGACACAGATTCTGGGAAGGACGGATCTTCCAGAAGCATCAAGGACAGTCGGAAGGAATCTGAGAAACCCAGGTGGGCGCTGCTTTCAGATACAGTGGTCTTTTAATTGTGATAGTTCTTTCTTGATTATTGCCACAGTTAGACATTTGAATGACTCTTTAATCAGTTGATCCAAAGAGAGGCCTACTGTGGAGCAGAGACCAGCCTTGAACTCCTGATCCGACTGTTTCTCTCAAGTGGTGGGATTATTGGCAGGTGCTACCAAACCTGGCTTGATTCTGGGACGTGGCATATGTGCCATGCATTGGTGTACGGCCCGTGGAGTGGTAAGTTCCACACTTAGAGAGGGGCAGAGAAGTTCTGCGTCCCTCCCCTGGGTGTGTTCAGTCATTCCTGTGTACACACATGTACTACTTTGTTTTTGGTTAAAGTTAACCCAGTTTTTAAATTGTTCTTTTCCTTTTTGTACTTCATGTTTCTCTGGAAGCTCTGTTCATGACTACATTATTCCCTTCCGTATGGCCTTTATTTATCTCCATTCCCTTCTCTGCTTTCTACCTTGAGCAAGGTGTTCAAGTCCTACCTGGAACAGCGTGAGTGCTCAGCATAGCTTTCCCTGTGCTTAGGTGGATATCCTCCTCCATCGAGATGGATATTAGGTGGTATGTGTGAAGGCACCTGGATCAGGTGCTGGCTTGTTAAGATAAAATACCCTAACCAAGCAACTAAAGGAGGAACAGTTTATTCCTGCCCACAGTCTAGAGTGTAGCCCATGGTGGCCGGGAGGTCACGGCAACAGGAGCTGAGGCGGTAAGTCAGGTTGCATCAGAAGGAAGAGGGAGATGCCTGCTGCTGCTTGGCTCTCTTGTTCCCTTTCCTTCGGTCCAGGGCTCAGGCCATGGTTCAGTTTTTGGGTGAATCTTCCCACCTCAGTGAACCTGGTCAAGAAAATGGCTACCAGGTGTTCCTAGAGGCTACCCAGATCATCTAGATGATTCCGTACAGTTGTCTGACTTGACAATCAGTGTTAACTATCACACTCCCTGATTTATTACTCATTTAACCTTTTCTTCTTGTGTGTTTTATAAGAGAGACATGACAGTTTTTTCCTCAATGGCACACATTAAGAATGTAATGCCATTGAGATTTTTGCATCTCTTTGGGGATTGTTTGCTTTTGTTATGTGCTTGGGAGTCCTGATAATGTTAGAGAGCCAGGTTTCTTTTTAATTTTATGTGTAGGAGTGTTTTGCCTGCATTTCTGTATTTATGCCACATGTGTGCCTGATACCTGTGGAGGTCAGAAGAGGGTGATAGGTCCCTTGGAACTGGAGTTACAGATGGTTGTGAGCTGCCATGTGGGTGCTGGGGACCAAACCCAGGTCTTCTGCAAGAGCAGCCAGTGCTCTTAACCATTGAGCAGGTTGAGCTACTGTGTTGTAGCTTCCGGAAACTTTCATTTCTCTCTCTTTCCTAGAGCTGGGGAAAAGCGATTCTAACAGATTTCCTAAGACCATGCAGCTGCCATGAGAACTTGAAGGGTGGTTAGTTTCAGCCTTTGATGGACCATGTCCAAGGAAGTCTCTACAGCATGTTTGTTGTTGTAGTTGGTAATTTTTGAGACTTGGTCTCATGTAGCCCAGGCTGAAATGAACTCTTGCCCCCATCTGCTAAGCCGAATCTCACAGGTGTGCACACCACATCCAGCTTCAGATCCTGATAACATTGCTGCTGTTCTTGTGTGAGAAGGCTAGAGGTCCATGTTGGGTTTCCTGTTTGATCGCTGTCCACTTTATCCTTCGAGAGAGGTCTCTCCCAGAACCTGGAGCTCATTGACCAGCTGGACTGTCTGACCAGTGAGCTTCAGGGAACTGTCTGTGTCCCAGCACTGAGGTTAGAGGAGTGTGCAGTTGTAACCAGTGTTTTTTGTGGGTGCTGGGGACCTGCAATTGGGTTTCATGTGTTTGCAGCAAGCATTTTACTCAATGGGCTATCTACCCATTTCCCTGGTATATTTCTTTTAGATCATTTTATTGAATAATTTTATTAAGATAAAAGATTGTTCTAATCTTATGCTTTTGTTTTCTTATCAACTTCTTTAGTTTGGTTCTGGAAAAGCTGAGTTGGAGAAGTGTTTGTTTCCATACAGTAAGGACTAAGATATTAGTGAGTTGTGAATGACTTTCCATGATGTCAGGAAAGTGGGTTCATGGAGGGTGGCACACCATGCGGGACTCTACTTCAGGGGATCGAGGGACAAATTCCCCAGAGGTGACAACCACTAATTGACCTTTGTTTCCTGGGGTGAGCTCTTTAGCACTGTGTGGAGGCAGCACGTGTGCACAGCTGAAACCACACCCCTCATCCCTCTTCCCAGCTCCGATCCTCCCTAGGGAGAGCAGGGTGCTTACTTCCTCCCTCGGGGTGGCTGTTACCGCCCTTTGTGTGTCCTCTGTGGGTTAATGTTCCTTCTTTTGTATATATATTTGCTTGTTTCCAACAGGCTTGCCCTCCTTTTATTGCCCCTTAGGGTTTTGTAGAGAAACCCCACAGCTGTCCTGCAGGCAGTTGTAATTTCCTACACTATGCGTTTTAACCCAAGTTTGCCATTCAACAGTTATTTAGTGAGTAGTTATTTTATGTCCCTAAATTACCATTCCCTTATATTGCCTGCCTTGAAGGACCTAGGAATCTTCAAAATCTTTCACTGTGTCTGGGCAGAGCTACAAAAGGTGGTGTTGCACGCCTTTAATTGCAGCACTTGGGAGGCAGAGGAGAGGCAGGTGGATCTCTGTGAGTTCGAGGCCAGACTGCGCTACAAAAGCTAGTTCCAAGACAGGCTCCAAAAGCTACAGCGAAACCCTGTCAAAAAAAAAAAAAAACCAAAAAAAGAAAAAAACAAAACTTGTAGCCTTATGAATTCATTTCTGCAGAGGAAAAAGGATGTTAGAGGCCAGAAAACCTTCCTTTCTGCTCTTCACTCCTCGGAGGTACTGCGTTCATTTGTGTCAGTTCAAGAGACAATCAGGGTCTTATCTTACCGGGAACTCTCACCATTCTGCTCTTTCTGTAGAAGGCCCAGATGTACACAACACTTAGATGAAGAATCTGAGACCATGCCACAGCGATACTGGAGATGCAGCAAGTCAGGGTTATGGCATGTCTTAGTTAGGGTTTCTATTGCTGTGAAGAGACATCATGCCCACAGCAGCTCTTATAAAGAAGACATTTAATTGGTACTGGCTTATAGTGTGAGAGGTTTAATTCATTATCATCATAGTGGGACATGGTGGCATGCAGGCAGACATGGTGCTGGAGAAGGAGCTAAGGGTTTACATCTTGATCTGCGGGCAACAGGAAGTGAACTGGGTGTGGCTGGAGCAGCATATATGAGACCTCAAAGTCCACCCCCATAGTGACACACTTTCTTCCACAAGGCCACACCTCCTAATGGTGTCACTCCCTATGGCCAAGCATTCAAACACAAAAGTCAGTGGGGGGCCATTCCTATTAATACCACCACTTGGCATTTTTTAAAAGTATTCACTTGTAACAAAATTCACTTAAAATAAAATAAAGACTTTTAAAATAAGTTAGGTGCGGTAAGGGCAGTGCACTCTAAAGTCTTGTCACCTTTGGCCACGTGGTTGTGTCGTTTGCCTAGTGCTCTAAAGTGTTTTGGAGCAGGAATAATTTTTCCCTAAGCATGGTTAGAATGAGAATGGTCTCCACAGGCTTCTATTTACTTTGTTCCCAGTTGGTGAAATTGTTTGGGAAGGATTAGAAGGTTTGACTTGTGTCACTAGGGGAGGGCTTTGCGTTTCAAAAACCCCACCATGAACAATTAGTTCTCTTTCTCTGCCTCATGGCTGTTATCTCAAGTTGTGAAGTCTCAGCTACTGCCCCAATGCCATGCTCCCTGCCATGATAGTCGTGGACTCTAAGCCCCCAACAGACTGGTCATGGTGTCTCTTCACAACAATAGGAAAGTATCTAAGACAATAGCTATAGGCATTTAAATATTTGTATACGTTTACTTGTTTATTTCCCAGGACTTCCTGCCTAGGACCAGTAAGCTGGACCTCTTTTTTTTTTTGTATTTTTTTTGTTTTGTTTTGTTTTTGTTTTAAGACAGCATTTTACTAAGTTGCCCAGCAGGCCTAGAGCTTATGATCCTCTTTCCTCAGCCTTATGAGTAGCTCGGATTGTATAGGCCTGTGCTGCCAGATCTGGCTGACATGAAATCTTTCAAAGGAATGCCTGTATCCTTCAGGGTTCTTACTGAGATGGCTTCTCTGTTTGATCAAGTATCATTTTGTGGTTGTAGGTGTGGCCTCAGTTTTGAGCCCTTCCCATAGAGAAAGCCCTCTTCTGTTCATTGCTGGTGTGGTTATGTGTGTACCTGGGTGCGTTTGATATCATCAGGGTTTGGCAGCTTTAGCCTGCGTATTTCTGAGGATGCCAAATGTTTCCACAGTAGTTTTAAATCTCCTCTCCCTTCTTTGTCTGATAGTCAGGGAAGTGATGCTGTTGGTGCTGCTGCTGCTGCTGGACATCGCTCCATTTGGCTGGAAGACATTCAGACTCTGGCAGAAGTCTTCATGACAGATAGGAAACCAGATCCTGCCAACTGGGAGTATAAATCTCTTTACCGAGGGGATATAGCAAGGTAAGTATTGTATCCCTGGTTTGCTTGGTTGGTCTCTCTCTCTCTCTCTCTTCTCCTTTCTCCTCCTCTTCTTTTTTTTTTTCTATTAGAAGTAACATCTTTTTTCTTTGGCTGTCTCAGTACTGTCTATCTGTCTTTCTCTCACGATTCTGTTGTGTTTTGCCCATTGTCAAGTTGTAATGGCATACGTCCCTTCTGTATTTTAAAATGAATGCTTTAGCTGGAAGGTCATTTTGGGTTAATTTTATCCCTGGCACATAGCATAGTGCCTGGCCGAGTGGGTGTTCAATAAATGTTTGTTCAGGAATAAGTCTAAAAATATCTTATAATAATTAACTTCGGTAGGGTATCCAGGAACTATTTGGTCTGATCTATGTGCCATATGAGAAAGTGGCAAGATAATTTTTATTTATTTATTCAGGCCCACACATATGCCATTTAACAAATGACATTTGATGGTAATGCCTTTGTCACATTATTTCTAGCAGACACCAGCAGAGAGTCATAAAAGTAGGGGGTGGCATTTTGCTTCAGTAATGGTTAGAACTCTTTCTTGTAATCTGTCAAACATATTTGAAAAAAATATGCAGGGTGGTACATTCCTTTAATCCCAGCTTCTTGTGAGGCTAAGGCATGATTGTCAGTCTGAGGGGACTGCTGCCCCAAAAGAATAGCAACAGTGAAGCAAAATTTGAGTGTTTACTGTCTCCCTGTAGACAGTTAGGACTTTGTAGGTCTTGGTACATAAAGGACAAAGGTGCGACCCCTGCTCCGAGTTCCCAGGTCTTGAAGACTCAAGGTATTGATCCTGGGATTTAAACTCTGAGACCTTGGCATTCAGTTTTCTTTTCTTTTGTTTGATGTCTGTTTTGAATGCCCTCTAGCCCAGGCTGGCTTCACATTCAGTCTGAGGCCCAGGCTGGGTAGATTTCAGCCTCCAGTGTGTGACTGCATCTCCTGTGTACTCGTGGCTCACTCATCTTGAGGAGCCGACCCTGCCAGTGTCCTTCATTCTAATGTATAGGGCTGTGTTTGTTTACCTCTTCTTCCTACACCCTCCCCAGCTATCTATTTTATTTATTTGCTCTGGATTCATTTGAATTAATGTCATTCATTGAAATTCTTAAGTTTGTGTGTGGGTTCCAGCTTCTGGGGTCAAGGGGGGCCAGTAGGTGATTTGATAAGGATCTTATAGGAAACATACTTTCATTGGAGGGAACGTTGCCTTAATTACACAGTAAGTTCTACTCAACTCAAGATTCTTGGACAAGTGATAAATGAGATGTACTCTAATGTTGAACAGTATGGAAGTAGTTAAATTATGCTTCACCGATACAGTTTGAAGGCAATAAAAACTATATTCTTGAGTCAGTAGGTAAAGGTCCTTGCCACCAAGTCTGACAACCTGAGTTAGAGGCTCAGGACCCACATGGTGGAAGGAGAGAACCACTTCCCACAAGTTGTCCACTGACCTCCATGGGTCACTGTGGCATGTACCTCCCCACAAATGTAATTAGGGACTGGAGAGATAACTCAGCGGTTAGGTCCTGTGTTCAATTCTCTGCAACCATATGGTGGCTCACAACCATTTGTAATGGAATCTGATGCCCTCTTCTGGTGTACAGATGTGCTTGCACACAGAACACTCATACATACAACACTTACATAAATAAATGTAATTAAAAGTTGTAGTCTTTAAGGGACTGGAGAGATGGCTCAGTGGTTAAGAGTGCTGGCTGCTCTTCTGGAGGACCCAGGTTCAATTTCCAGCACCCATGAAAGAAAAAGAAAAACAATATTCTTGAAGAGTAATTGTGTTGAAGTGTATAAAAGCAGTGGGGAAGGCTCAGGCTATATGATAGCTTTTAAAAGAATGTGTATATACAGCCGTATCCAGAATTAGGTATCTGTAAACAGTGGGACTTTATTTTCCTTCATGTCTCCATTACTTTGTTATTTATTTTTAGTTTTATTCTATGTGTAAGGGTGTTTTATGTTGATGTGTATCTGTGCACCATGTGTGTGCAGCGCCCATAGAGGTTAGAAGAAGGTGTCAGATCCTCTGGTACTTGAACTACAGATGATTGTGAGCTATACCATGTGGGTGCTGGGAATCAAACTCAGGTCCTCTTGAAGAGTAGCCAGTGATCTTAACCGCTGAGCTATGTTCAGTCCCCCAACCCCCTAGTTTGTCCTTTGGAACTGAAGAGTCTGTTCCATCAGGATCTCGTCATGGCTGCTGTGGTCATGACCTTCTAGCTCTGCTGATGAAGTTGCTCTGCATGGAATTCCATGGTAATTCCGCCTTCCTATAAATCTTTTCTTTTGGATAACACTGGGCTTTTCAGTCTAATTACTTTAATACTCAAGATTTGCTATCATGGTGTTCAGACCTTGGCAAGATTTAGGAGAACTTGTGTGTTTGAGAAAATATTTCCCTGAATTGGGATTCCCACCATTGGAGCAGTGATGGAGGGACAAGGCACACAGAAAAGGCAGCTGTTGACAGTGGAGAAAGCAAGGAGGCGGGAAAGCCCAGGCTTGCCTGGGCATCTTGGAGCTGACAAGGTGGTGGCATTTCTCCCCTATCCTTTTTTCTTTCTGTGTGGCATTTTATTTTGCAGAATTTCACATACATGGCAAAAGTAGGAAGGATTTTATACTAGAATACGGCTCCAACATTCAGCCTCTCATCCGTCATGCTTGCCTCCTGACCACCTGTCCTTCAACCCATCTAAGGTTTTGATACATTTCAAAATGAGCCACAGACAGTAGTACACTGTCTCCTAAGAATGCATGTTAGTAACTAGACTTCAGTAGTTTTTTAGGGCTTTTCTTTGGTCTAAATTTACGTGCAATTAATCTCTAGTCTTGCATGTTGATGAGTACCTACACCTGTGTAACGGCGGTCTCGTGCCACCCACACAGCTCTTCGTGCGAGCAGCTCCCACCCATGGGAGGGGGAGCGGTGTTTGCTGCTGTCATGAGTCTCATCCTCTGTTGGTCTTGTCTGCCTAGAATGCTGTGAGTGGGATTACACAGCATGTACACTCCTGTGCCTGGCTTTTTTCACTCAGCATGATGTTTCTGAAATCTAGCATGTGGCATTTGTCAGAAGTTTGTCTCATGTATTATTCTATTTTATGATGTTACGGCTACTTGTTATGAGTTCTTCTGTTGATGGCCACCTGGGTTCTTTCCATTGTCTAGCTGCTGAGAATATTTGAGTACAGTCTTTGTGTAGACATGTGGTTTATTTTCTTTTGGGCAAATACCTTGGAATAGAATTGCCAGGTCACGGGGTGTGTGTTTAGTTTTTATTTTGTTTTAAAGATTTATTTATTATATATTATGTATACAGTGTTCTGTCTGCATATATGCCTACAGGCCAGAAGAGGGTGCCATATTTTAGTATAGGGGGTTGTGAGCCACCATGTGGTTGCTGGGAATTGAACTCAGGACCTCTGGAACAGCAGACAGTGCTCTTAACCGCTGAGCCATCTCTCCAGCCCATGTGTTTAGCTTTTTAAGGTACTGCCATACCTTTCCCCACTCATTACTTTACATTCCCACCAGCAACAGGTGAGAGCTGTGCTCACAGCATTTGATGCTGTCCATTGTGAATGGTTCAGTCACCTGGGGTGTGTGCTGTGCCCCAGCCTGGTTTATTTGGGCATTTCCAGGAGGGCTAGTGATACTGAGTGTTTCATGCACGTTTTGCTTCTATGTCTCCTTGTGTGAGATGTTGGTTCACGCTCTTGCCCTGTTTTTAGTTGGGTCATTTGCTGACAGATGTACACAGGTTTTGTCAGTCTCTGTCTGCGTGTTCTGTAAAAACACTGTAGAGCCCAGCAACCTCTTTTCCTTTAGAGTAGAAAACAACCAAATGCTATTTCCTTTAACTCACTTAAAAAGAAAGAATCTTAAACTGTAGGCTGCCCCCCGAAGCCTGAAGCAGGGTATAGCATAGCACTGGGGAGGGGAACAATTGACCTGACAGACAGGTGCTCTGGGTTCTTGGTGTCAGGATGCTCATTTAAGAATGGGCGTCCTGTCCTCGTTAGTATAGTGGTGAAAAAAAAAAAAAAAAAGGAATGGGCGTCCTGGCCGGGCAGTGGTGGCGCACGCCTTTAATACCAGCACTCGGGAGGCAGAGTCAGGTGGATCTCTGTGAGTTCGAGGCCAGCCTGGTCTACAAGAGCTAGTTCCAGAATAGGCTCTAAAGCTACAGAGAAACCCTGTCTCGAAAAAACAAAAAACAAAACAAAACAAAAAAAAGAATGAGAGTCCTGCCTTGCCTGCCACATACGGCTGTGATAAGCAAGTGATACAATGTATGTGACAGGCCTTATAGAGCTTCAGAGTCTTAAATCCTTAGAGGTGTTACCAGCAGGTTGAAGAACAAGGAAAAGTCAAGCCAGGCAGAGTAAGGCTGATGGCTGATCTCTTGGAACTCTTAGTCTATTCAAGGTGAATGCATAAGAATTAGGTCTCAGGACGTTCAGCTGTACACAGGGAACAGGACACACATTTTTTTCTCAACTGCTTGTTTTCTTTTTCTAATCAGGTACAAGAGGAAAGGAGACTCCTGCCTGGGCATTAATCCTAAGAAACAGTGTATATCTTGGGAAGGGACTTCTGCAGTTAAGAAGCATGCACACAAGCACCTGGAGCGCTATTTTACCAAGAAGAATGTGGGATTAATGCGCACTGAGGGGATTGCTGTGTGTGCTAACACCGAGCCTCCCTCCTCTGAGCCAGTCACATTTATCCCAGTGAAGGACTCTGCTGATGTGGCTACTCCTGTTGCAACATGGCTGAATCCTCTGGGGATTTATGACCAGTCAACTACACAGTGGTTACAAGGACAGGGTCCACTAGAGCAAGAACCAAAGCAGCCAGACTCACAGCAGGACAGGGAGAGCGCTGTTCTGAAGGCCAGAGTGGAGGAGTTCAACAGAAAAGTGCGGGAGAATCCTCGGGATACTCAGCTGTGGATGGCCTTTGTAGCCTTCCAGGTGAGTGTCCCTGCCCTGGTTCTCTTCCTTTGAAATGGGAATTCTGATTTGGAGCTGATCTGTTTACTCTGTAGCATCCATGCATGCATGCATGCATCCACCTGGTGGTACTGTGGATTGAACCCAGGATCTTGCATATGCAAGCATTCTACCATTGACCTCCCAAGCTCTTTTTTACTTTATTTTGAGCCAAGATCTAAGTTGCCCAGGCTGACTTTGAACTTGCCATACTCCTGCCTCTGCCTCCAAAGTAGTTGGGGTTATAGGTGTGCACCACTAGGTCCTGTCCTGTAGCACTTTTTGAACTGCTCTGAAAAAGCTTGGGCCTGGCTTCTTGTTAGTTATAGCCTTTGACCTGAGCTTGCTCAAAGTTCAGTGAAGAAGCCCAGTCCTCTGAGGGATACATGCAGCGTAGAGTAGGGATGCTGTGTTATCTGGGAGAGGAGTTAACAGCCTTGTTTTCACCATGTCTCTTTATTGCTTTATGTTTTCGACTTATTTATTTATTTTTAAAGATTTATTTATTTATTTTGTTTACAGTGTTCTGTCTGTATGTATGCCTCCAGGCCAGAAGAGGGCCCCAGATTTCATTACAGATGGTTGTGAGCCACCATGGGGTTGCTGGGAATTGAACTCAGGACCTCTAGAAGAACAATCTTAACCTCTGAGCCATCTCTCCAGCCCCCAGAATATTTCTTTTTTTAGTGGGAGTTGGGGTGTGGAGTGTGGTTGGAGGGGCTGGGGATGAGCGTAGGGTTGAGTGGCTGTAGGGCTGATGCTGGGATGGCACCCAGGGCCACATAGATGAGCACTCTCTCACTGAATGGGTCTCAGCCCAGGAATGCAGTTTTGGGAGAAAAGCTGAGGACAAGGCAGCCCTGGAGTGCAGAGTACACGAGCGAGGGCAGACTGGGAGGACCGGTCTGCTCGGGATTCCTGTCTTAGAGGCTGTGCCCTAGTATGCACAGCTGTGTCTTGTCATTCGTTCCGTTTTTGAGTAGTTAGTAGACTGTGTCTGTTTATTGGTAAGATTGATTCTGCCCTGTTCAGTGCCCTGTGCTAGTTATTGATGTATAAAACCATGTTAAGAACGACATGGAGGCTAAAGAGATAGCTCAGTGGTTAAGAGCACTTGCTGCTTAGTTATGAGGACCAGAATTCAGATCCAGTACCCATGTACCAAGACATCTGTGTATACCTGTGATTCATCTCTTAGATTGTGTCTGTCTACAGAGAAAAGAGGCTTGCTGGAGAGACCCTGTGTCAGGACTAAGGCAGAGTGTGATAAAGGAGGACAGCTGACAGCCTCTGCGGTCAACATGTGTACACAGGCACATGTGCCTACACACACAACATAGGAACACACATGCACATGTAGTAATAAGTCTCAAAGCCCAGAATGACAAGGGCAGAAGCTCTGTCTGGAGATATAAAGGTAGAAGACAGCAGGTGTCACAGACACCCAGGAACTGTGTGTTTACTAAAAGGACTTGTCATAAGTAAGTGGTTTGTTTATCAATGGAATCTCACTGGAAGCTGGAACCCCCTGGGAGTCCTGCAGGCTGAGCATGGTCGAACTGAGGAGCATATGCGTGTAGTTTGCATTAGTAAGCTGTCATCCTTGTTGTTTAGGATGAGGTCATGAGGAGCCCTGGCCTGTATGCCCTTGAGGACGGAGAGCAGGAGAAGCACAGGAAGTCCCTGAAGCTCCTCCTGGAGAAGAAGCTGGCCGTGCTAGAGCGGGCCATTGAGAGCAACCCAAGCAGTGTGGACCTGAAGCTCGCCAAGCTGCAGCTGTGTGCGGAGTTCTGGGAGCCCAGTGCACTGGCCAAGGAGTGGCAGAAGCTCCTCTTTCTGCACCCCAACAACACAGACCTGTGGCAGCGCTACCTCTCCTTTTGCCAGAGTCAGTTTGGCACCTTCTCTGTGTCCAAACTGCACAGTCTGTACGGCAAGTGCTTGAGTACCTTGTCTGCTGTTAAGGATGGCAGCATCTTATCCCACCCGGTACTGCCGGGCACAGAGGAGGCCATGTTTGGTAAGGAGATACACAGAAGTGGCTGTGTGGGAGGATTTTGTTTTTGTTTGGCTTTATGCTTATTTTAGGAAGGTCTAAATTATCAGAGCAGATTTTTTATTTCAAGCATTACCACTCTGGCTAACTGTGACAGGGTGGGTAGGTAGGATGCTCGGCTCATAGGGTGGGCTGGTGGGGTGTTCGTCCGGCTCACAGGGTAGGTGGGTAGATGTTAGAGCCAGCGGAGTTAGAAAAAGATGGACTAGACATCTTTTCTATTTCATCACTAAGTAAACTTACTCAGTCTTAATTGCTTTGGCTGCCAGTGGTCATATCCATTGAGACCCCAGTTACAGGGCGTCTGGCAGGGAGGGACGTGAATCCTTACTACGTACAAGTAAGTGACTAGGATTAAATGTTAATGTTTTTGGTGTGTCCCTTAAGGATCTTGGCAGCCGTGAGGTACAGCAGGCAGCATCTTATGTAGTAGGTGGAGAATGTCACTCTTCAGCTTGGGTTCTGGATTTATCCTTTATTGTGACATTGTGCAGATTCTGATCTGGGACAGTGTGCACATTTCTGAACCTGTTCGAGCTTGTTCCTTATCGGGAACAGTAGGATAACATTTGCTTTACAGGACCATTGTGAACACGAAGTGAGATAATGCATGGTGTACCTGCATATGACAAGCGCGTATTTCTTTGAAATCCCTGTTAGTAAGAATTAATTATCATTGACATTTGGAGACACATGCATTGCTCTAGAAATAATAGACATTCCCCACACTGACAGAGAGTCTTGTATTTGGGACTAGAAGGTACAGTTTCCAGGCATACGCGATCCCCTAGGTCTAATCCATAACACCAAGACTAAATAAATGACATGGAATTTTCTTTTGAAACGTATCTCATTTGATATTATTCATGATATGCTTCTATGGCTTAACGCTACTTAGAAAATGAAATTACACCACCATTAATATGAGCTGACCGTTTCAAATGTGGAGTTGTGGTCTGTTCACTCTTAGCTGAACATTTGAATGAATGGTGAATAATGCCATCTAGTGATGGACCGAGTTCAGCACTTCGCCTTCTCACAAACATGGATGCCATTCCTTTCCTGCCATTTCTCTTGTAATAGTGAACTTTGAGTATTGGATAGCTAACATTCAGGCCTACATTTTTAGCTTATTTTAGAATATATATATTATATTTTATATATATTATAGAATATATGTATTTTAGAATATATATATATATGGCTATATTTTTAAAATTTGTGTTTTGTGTAGTTTTGTACAAAGCATAGAAAAACTACACTTTAATTATAGTACTGTTACTATTTTATTTGTTTATTTAAAAAAATTTAAGCTGAACATAGTGGTGCACACCTGTAGTCATAGCACTATGGAAGCGGGGCAGGAGGATCTCTTGAGTTTGGGGCCAGTGTAGTCAATGGAGTGAGTTCGAGGACAGCAAGGGCTACACAGGGAAACCCTGTCTCAAAAACCAAAAAGAAAAAAAATGACAATTTTCAGATTTATTTTTGTGTGTGTGTGTGTCTGTGTGTATGTGCGCATGTGCACAGGTACCCGAGGAAAGCAGCATTGGGTGGCAGAGCCTCTGGAAGTGCTTTATAGGTGGTTGTGGAAGTTGTCTGACATGGGTGCGGGAACTAAGTTCAGGTCCCCTGGAAGAGCCGTCCCTCCAGCCTGTTGGTTCTTTTAAGTCAGGACCCTGAAGATATAGCAGCAGCTTGCAGGTGTTCAGTTGCATTTTGGAAAATTCCGTTTTCTCGCTGTGCCGTCAACAAAGACTTGTCCCCTTTGTGCCTCCGCTTGCAGCGCTCTTCCTGCAGCAGTGCCACTTCCTGCGGCAGGCCGGCCACTCGGAGAAGGTCGTCTCTTTGTTCCAGGCCATGGTTGACTTCACCTTCTTCAAGCCTGACAGTGTAAAAGAGCTGCCTACCAAAGTACAGGTACAACACACTCTGCCTCCCCAGAAGTACTCCAGTGACCAAGGAGAATCCCTCCATGACGCAGTGACAGCAGTGACAGCAGTGGGATGTGCTGGGTAGATGCTGGCCCCTTCCTCTCAGATACAAAGTCCACCGAGAGGGTGGCCTCCTTCCTCACCACCCTGTTTAAATGCAGCCTTGTTTCCACGGTTCTAATGCCATTTGGAGCCACATGTCTTTTACTCTGTCTTGTCTGGGTTGTGATGCTGCCTCTTCATTGCCTTAAGTCTCTACTTGTACTGTAACTGAAGTCAGACCTGGCCTTCTGTCAGCGGTCCTCTTCATCTGTGAGGTGACAGGAGACACTTTCAGTCTTCTCTCCACGTGGTAATGTAACACAGCCTAAGAGCTATGCGGTTATGGAAAACAACCACTTCTGTCTGTCCACTGAAGAAAACTCCATTTTCTGCTTTGGGAAGGGGCCTGGGGGCAGATGAAGAGAACATCTGGATTCGTGGTAGGCCCTCGGAAGAAGTTTTGAAAACTCAGGTCTCGTGTGAGCTGCCAGGAAAGACCATTTTTATCATGATGTTACATTTAGACAAACAAAATCAGGTTTAAAGAATTCCACCTGTTAATACTGGTACAACTGCTGTTTAATTAGCCTTTATATGAAGCAAGTTAAAAATGTGCTGCGATGTTTTAATTCTATGCTGTGCTTCAGAAGTGGCTCTGGGGTACTGTGGTGAGGATCTGAATCTTCCTGTCCTCACCCCTCCATGAGGCTCTCGATCTGTGATGAGAACAGTCTCTGGTGGAACAGCACTGCCCACACTAGCTAGCAGTGGTCCCTGCTGTGTTGTGTTAGAGCCCCAAGCCATGTCCGCAGATGCTAAATCTCAGCAGCACAGTTCCCTAAGCATCTGCATGCAGCTCAGGAAGGCCACCTATTCAGCAGTGTTGCACATCTGCTGTCTCACTGGGAGATGACATCACCATGACTGTAGTAGGGTAAGATAAAACAGGTAGAGGCTGTAACACTGGTCTGTTTCGGTGGAATAAACACGCTTGTTATACACACATAGCATACTCTTAAAAAATCAGCCTTTGCTTGAGTGTGCGGTTTATTTGTTTGTGGCAGTACTAGGAATTGAACCCAGACCTTTACAATTGGTAGACATTGAGTTTTTGCTTGTTTTGTTTTTAATATCACTGTCTCAAAAGCCGATCTGTAGTCTTTCCAGCCCATTTCCTGAGGGTGACTGGCACTCATTTGCTGTCCATGGCTGGTGTCAGCACACTCACCCTGCCCTGTGACCCTTGTAGGGATTGTTCCCTGAAGGCATGTCCTGCGACTGTCAGCCTACGATGTGTTTCTTCAGAAAGTTTTCATTAGAGTAGGTTTTTGGCTGCCTTAAAGTCCTGTTGCAAGTCGATAACAAGATCACTAGCAGGACCGTTCCCACCCAGTGCTACACTCACTCTGTTCTCGGGGTGACTGCCTGCCTCTAAGTTGCTGTGCATGGCAGATCCCATGTCCAGAAGACAGCAGGGCCCGACCTTCAAGTGCAGATGGCTTTGCCCCACAGGTACGTCCCTCCACACACCCGTGCCTAAGGCATATACTGAGTTCCTGCTATGTGCTGAGCTAGATGTTAGGGTTAAGGATGATGGGAGCGGACAGTGGTTAGACTGCACCAGCGGGGGCCAGAACTGGGAGACGCTTTCCTACTCAGCTGCAGACCCTTGTCACCAGACCTTGACCAACCATTCACGACCTGATCTTCGAAGTCACTTATACCAGGAGTGGAGTAATGGGTTTTGGAGGCTGCCTGCCAAAATAATTCCTTTTTCTGTTTTGCTGTGTGTATAATGAATTGACTCTAAACATCGGTCCTATGATGTTTTAGGGATCCTATGCTCCCCAGATAGCCACCAGGGCTTATTTGGCCTGATGACTTGGGAGTTTTGCTTGTGCTTGGTCTAACTTCTGTATTTAAACTTAAACAGGTAGAATTTTTTGAACCCTTCTGGGACAGCGGAGAGCCCCGTGTTGGGGAGAAGGGCGCCCGAGGCTGGCGGGCGTGGATGCACCAGCAGGAGCGTGGTGGCTGGGTGCTTGTCAATCCAGGTGAGTGCTTCCAGGAAGTTAGGGGCATGCCTTCTCTTCTGGGGTTAGGTGCCCCTTCATGACTGTTTCCCTGTAGAAGCTGCTTACCTGAGGCGGCTCTAGAGCACTGTACAAGCATCAGAATGTCAGCAGGACTTAACCAGGGCCCATGGACTGCTGGAGCCCCAACTCCCATCTCAGCGTGTAGCATTGGGAGCATCTGAGCGTTCTACAGTTGCTGTCACCATTTTGTGCCCCTCCTGCCAGGTCCAGTTTCTCCATACCCACAGCGTCACTTGTTTTCGCTGTTCATTTCTTCCTGAGCTACAGTTTGTGTACCCTTCCCTGAGAAGTCAGGCTCTTGTGTTGGCTGTGATGAGTAGGACTGCCCTGAGCACAGACACTGAGGCCGTCCGTATTTGCTTGCCTTTGTGTGCATGTGCGTGAACCTCAGTTCTCACCTTTCTGCAGCTGGGGTGGGAGCCTGGTAGTTTTATAAGATGCAGCCAAACTCTTTCTGGATGTGATCACTCTGTTTCCCAAAGCCCTTCTTTAATACTACATGAGCAGACTTAGGAAACACAGTGAAATGCAATGTCGGATACCCTAAATTAACAAACAGTTTCAAATCAAACTATAGTTATAAATCATAATTAAAGGTATAAGGCCACTGGCTAAGAATCAGATAGGTTAACCAATACAGTTATACATTTTCATTTGTTCAAACTAATTACCTCTAGCTAGCTGTTCTTAAAGTGAATTAAAATGAAATAAGATTAAGAATCCAGTGAGTCACATGTAGATGGTAGCAACATTAGCGCAGATCACGTTTTTGTCATCTCAGCAAGTTCTTTTGGGCAGTGATGTTCTAGAACTCCATTCTCCATTCTTGGTCCCCCCCCCCCCCCCATTAACCCCATCACCGTCCATCCATTATCTACTTGTTTTTCCTGGGACCCTCCCTGCTTCACGAGATTCCTTGGGCCAGGGAGGCAGCATGGTTGTTCTGTCTGTGTGCCACATGCCCAGTGTAGCTGGCACACAAGACTGGGGTGGGGGTGATGTTGGCTGTATTTTCTGCTCCAGTGAAACAGATGTTTCCTTCTCTAGATGAGGATGAGGAGGAGCCAGAAGAGGATGACCAGGAGATAAAAGATAAGACTCTGCCCAGGTGGCAGATCTGGCTTGCTGTTGAACGTTCTCGAGACCAGAGGCACTGGCAGCCCTGGCGTCCAGATAAGACCAAGAAGCAAACAGAAGAAGACTGTGAGGACCCCGAGAGACAGGCATGTACCCTTCACTACAGCAGAAAGCACTCTCTCTCTCTTTCTTTCTCTCTCTCTCTCTCTCTCTCTCTCTCTCTCTCTCTCTCTCTTTCCAGTTATGCCTGGTAGCCAGAAGAAGACATCAAGTACCCTGGCCTTCTTGTTCTCCACTATTTCTTTGAGGCAGGTCTCTTACTGTTTTGATGTCTGGAATTGATCCAGTCGTCACAAGATACCAGCTCATTGTTTGGCTTGTGATATAATGTGTGTGTATAGACTGAGATTTTTCTCAGTGGATGAGGCTGTTGTGACCCTCTCTTGAGGCCCCGCTGCTTGTCACCTGAACCTACAGGCTGTCCTGTGGCAGTGCTCAGGTAGTGAGGGTTAGTGGATGCTGAAGAGTGTCAGATGCTGGAGCCTGCAGGCCTCGGTGCTGACAGCGTTTGAGGCCAGGCTCAGAGTAGGGGTGGATCAGAAGATTAGCAGCCTCTTCTGAGACCTCAGCAGGCCTGGTGCGGGGAGCAGAGAGCCTGGGAACCCCCAGACTCCTTTGTTGGTTGAAACTTTGGGATGTTTAAAGGGAGGATCATTGTTTGGTGTTTGAGGATTTCAGAGAGTTCACAGTCGAACGGATTTCTGGAGCAGACTGTCTGAGCAACTTCCTGTCATTTTGTATTTTCTCTAAAAAATCCCAAGGAGAAAAAGCTTTCTGGTCAGTTGATGGTTCAGCTTGTTGAATCCTAGCATTCCAGTTTTATTGTGCTTGGACCTGATTTCCTTTTCCGAGTGGCAGAGAAGTCAGTCTGTGTGAAAGCGCCGTGGGCAGGGTAGTGTCCTTGGCTGTGGGTTAAGTAATGTATGAAGTCACGTGTGAACTCTTAGAGCTAGCATCGGGCTCCTAATTGCTCTTTACAGTCCTTTGCTTCTGCTGTCCCTTCCTCACATGTACCTGTGTATCTGTCTCTGAGCAGTGTTCTTTTCTGAAGCAGATTTCTAGAAAGAAACAATAAAGAGTAAGTCTTCCATCCTAAAGTTAAAGGTCTCTGTAATTCTTCTCTGCCTGTGTAGCTGCGAAGTTGTTTGCTTCTGAAGTGATCGTGGGTCTAGGTTTTCTGAGTTCAGCAGGTTGCTCTGGAAGCTGTTGACTTTAGCCTATTGGTCTTTCCCGCCTTCCCTGCGTTCCCTGGGTGTGCACAAGTTCTCATGGCACCTTCAGGCTGCGGCTTGCTGTTGTCCAGCGCTCATGTTGCCTGGGGAGGCCTCTTGATTTTTTGTTTTGCAGATAACTTAGCTGCTGATGTCTGTAAAGAGCCGTGAAGCCTGTGACAGCTCTGGTCCCATTGGCTGTGTCTTGTCTTGCAGGTGCTGTTTGATGACATTGGGCAATCTCTGATCAGACTTTCCAGCCCAGATCTTCATTTCCAACTCATTGAGGCCTTTCTGCAGTTCTTGGGTGTGCCTTCCGGTTTCCTTCCTCCAGCCTCCTGCCTTTACCTGGCCATGGACGAGAGCAGCGTCTTTGATAGTGAACTTTATGATGAAAAGCCCTTGACTTACTTCAACCCTTCATTTTCGGGTATTAGCTGTGTTGGCTACATGGAGCAGTTGGGCTGTCCTCGCTGGACCAAAGGTCACAGCCGAGAGGGCGAGGATTTTATCCGCAATGTCTTCCACCTTGTGCTGCCTTTGTTCTCAGGCAAGCAGAAGTCTCAGCTCTGCCTCTCCTGGTTGCGGTATGAGGTTGCCAAGGTAACTGCAGCTGCCTCCTCCCATTTCATGTCAGTGTCTCAGGGGATCACTGTCACAGAACTTCCTCCTTCAGTGGCTCTTGCCGTCACCACAGATGTGAAGGCACAGCAGGCAGGCAGGAGACAGTCCAGTGCGTGGTCTGTTGTCGGCGATTATCCAGGCACTTAGTGCTAAGAACCAGCGCCAGCCTAAGCAGGGTTAGAGGATCTGGGGCTTAGAGCAGGAAAATAAGCTGCTTACCCCTGTACTCTATAGCTGTCGGCCATGCAAGGTGAGGTCCCAGACTCTACTCTGCCCTCTGCTGGCCAGTATTAATACTGCCGCTCATGGATATTATGTTCTCAGTTCATTTTTTAAAAAAATACATATCCTTTGGTAATTTCATACATGTATACAATGTATTTAGATCACATCTACAGAGTTACCCCCAACTCTTCATGGAACCCCCCACCCCCACTTTATGTCTTCCATCTTTTAATATATAAGTCCTAAAACTATCTGCAGCTAACATACACCAGGTTGTATGAAAATTGTGTCTTTGAAAAGTTCCATTCACTGGATAATTGAGTCATGACAAACATGGAAGAGAGATGTGGGGTCCCAGTATATTTCATCGTTTTCAGCCCGCAGTGAGCTCTTGCCTTAGACAAAAGAACAGTGTGGCCCATCTCTTGGAGATGAATATTTGGAGTGGGTTGGGCCTGTCTGTTGGGAATTCAGGTGAAAACCAGGTTGTATGCATGCTGGCACCTGTGGTCATGGTAAACCCCAATTTCATTTCTAGTTCAGGGAGCTGGTGTTAGCCAGATTTGACAGGCAGTGTGGGACTGCTGCCTTGCCAGTGCCTCCTCAGCCTGACAGGACAAAGGAAGTGCTTGGGGGACCCAGTGTTGTTCTTTTCTTTTTGCTATAGGTCGTTTGGTGTCTACACACTAAAAAGAAGCGATTAAAGTCGCAGGGAAAAAACTGCAAAAAACTAGCCAAGAATCTCCTTAAAGAGCCAGAAAACCGCAACAACTTTTGCCTCTGGAAACAGTATGCACACCTGGAGTGGTTGCTTGGCAACATAGAGGATGCCAGAAAAGTGTTCGATACAGCACTCAGCATGGCAGGCAGCAGTGAGCTGAAGGACCGTGAACTCTGTGAACTCAGTCTGCTTTATGCCGAGCTGGAGATGGAACTGTCGCCCGACTCGCGAGGAGCTGCCACAGGCCGATCTGTCCATGTGTTAACGCGACTGACCGAGAGCAGTCCCTATGGGCCCTACACTGGGCAGGTCATGGCCACTCAGGTTCTGAAAGCCCGAAAAGCTTATGAGCGCGCTCTGCAGGACTGTCTGGGTCAGACTTGTGCCTCAGAGCCTGCTACTGCAGAGTCCTTGGACTGCCTGGGTAGCTTGGTCAAGTGCTTTATGCTTTTCCAGTATTTGACTGTCGGGATCGATGCTGCTGTGCAGATATATGGACAGGTGTTTGCCAAGCTGAAGGGCTCTGTTCTCCCGGAAGGCCCTGGCCCAGAGGACAGTGCCGAGTCCCAGAGTTTGAGCAGTGTTCTTGAGGCCGTCACCCTGATGCATACCAGTCTGCTGCGATTCCACATGAACAGTAGTGTGTACCCTCTGGCTCCACTTCGAGAGACGCTCTCAGAGGCTCTAAAGCTGTATCCAGGCAACCAGGTTCTCTGGAGGGCATATGTACAGATTCAGAATAAGTCCCACAGTGCTAACAAGACCAGGAGATTCTTGGACATAGTTACCAGGTCTGCCAAACACTTGGAGCCTTGGCTGTTTGCAATCGAAGCCGAGAAGATGAGGAAAAGACTGGTGGACTCTGTTCAGAGGTAATTATGCAGTCTCTGCATGGGCCTCACAGACCTTTAGGGATGGTTACTGTTCCCAGCCCCTTGCCAGGTCTCAGGCCTGCAGATGCAGACAGGGCACAGGCCCTGCACACCTGCGCGCTGCTCTAGATGTTTCCATTAATAGACTGAAAAGTGAGTGAGGCACTTAGGAAGTAACCACTGGTGACCGTTCCTGCGCCAGGCTTGAACCTGACCCTTGTTTCTGGTGTATCTGAGATGTAATGGGAGCACTGTGCCCTCAGCCATGGACTCTAGAGCTTAACTCCAATTCAAGTGCCCGCTCTGCCACTCGTCACCTGGGTGACTTTGGGTAAGCACTTCATCTCTTGGACAGTTTCTGCTTCTGTCACATGAGAATCATGGAAGAATTTTCCTCATGGGGTATCCTCTCAGGTCCAGTGCAGCAAGTGTGTGGCCCGAAGATGGACCCAGTGCTCTGAGCTTGTGGCAGCATTCATTGAGAATGGCGTCATGCTCCACATGCCATCTTTGACATAGCTAAACGGTCATCCTGGAAACATGTAGATTGGGAGTCATTGTTCCTTCTGGAATGTGTGCTGCTGCTTCACGTTGGGCATATGTGTTAGGATTGCTCTAAAGATACCTCATTTTGCTTGGGTTTTGTTTATTCCTTTGATTTCACTCCCTGAGTCTTGTCTACTTTAAATTGAAAGACCTTTTTCTGTCCCCAAGGAGGACTTTGCATTCTGATTACAGGGTGAGTTTGTGTACGATTGCTAGGCAGGCTCAGCATAGGGCAGGAACAGCTCTGGCCAGTGCCTTTGCTCCACTCACACCTGGGGACAGTGCCTCCCTGAGAAACTGATGGATAGGTGGTGCTGACATTTGTCGTTGCTGGTCTGTCTTCCTGCTGTGGTGCTGGGAACAGAATTTGTCTTAGAATGACCTGAGTTCTTTCCTTGCAGGGTAGGTGGTAGAGAGGTCCACGCCACCATCCCAGAGACTGGCCTTACGCATCGGATCAGGAACTTGTTTGAAAATGCAATTCGGAGTGACAAGGGCAGCCAGTGCCCCCTTCTGTGGAGGATGTATTTGAAGTTTTTGGTAAGAAAATATTTTTTGACACTCTTCCTTTTGTTTTGTCAAAGCCCTATGTCTAAATTTGTGAGTCGGACAGATGCAGCTGTCTGTAGCCACTGCCTGGAAAGGAGAGCCTGTTGTCACCTCTCACTTTGGCACTGGTTAATCTTTATTGAACCCGGATGAGTAGTGTCCTCTCCTTCAAGGTAGATATTTGGAGAATAGAATTCAGGAGTAATCACTGGGCTTTTGTTTTCTATGAAGTGACTTCTTAAAAATTGCAGCTTGGAAAATGTTCAGGGCTTTTCATTTCAAAGAAGCTGATATTCTTGCCACTCGATCATAGGATTTGCTGGTCTTTAGTTATTTAATTTTGTTATTAAACGATAAGGTTCAGTCAAGAATGTGAAGCTTTGAGTGGGGGGCATGGGGCTCCAGAGCACAGGCTCATGCAGAGGAAGGCAGGGGAAGACAATCTATCCTAGCTCTTAGAAGTCACGTGGGTGCCTTTCCGAGGGACCCAGAGGACATGCTACCTAGGACAGCTTGGAGCTGACATTCATAGGTCAGAGCTATGCCAGTCCTCATCACCAGAGGCCGTGCCTTCGTCTTCATGAAGTCTTTTGTGTCTAGATGTGTTCCCATGGTATGTGCGTGTGTTCATACGTGTTGCACATGGAGGCCAAATGTTAGCCTTGGGCGCCATTCCATTCCTCAGGTGCTGTTCACGCCCTCCCACCCTTTTATTTATTTATTTATTTATTTATTTATTATGTATACGCCCTCCCACCCTTTTTTCTATTTATTTATTTACTATGTATACAATATTCTGTCTGTGTGTGTGTCTGCAGGCCAGAAGAGGGCACCAGACCTCATTACAGATGGTTGTGAGCCACCATGTGGTTGCTGGGAATTGAACTCAGGACCTTTGGAAGAGAAGGCAATGCTCTTAACTACTGAGTCATCTCTCCATCCCCCTGTCTCCCCCTTTTTAAAAATTGAAATAGGGTCTTTCACTTGGGTTAGAACTTGCCAAATAGACTAGGCTGGCTGTCCTGAGAGCCCCAGATCCCTGTCTCTGCCTCCCCAGTGTTGGTTTAACAAGTCTCTGCACCACACTCATTTTCTTTTTGTTTTTTTACATAATGTTCTAGGAATCATGTTCCTAGTTCACTTTACCAGCTGAACTGTGTCCCCAACACTTACAGTACTTCTTTAGAGCCAGAAGTCCAGGTTTATGGCTGACTTCCATGCGGAACAGAGGGTTATATGCAGAAATGGTATTTGTGGTGCGTCCTGATTTGACTGCCTGGCAGCCTGGCGCAGCTAGCAGGAGAATCTGGTTTTAGACAGACCCCCTCCCTGACTTGCCTGTCTCCTCTCCCTCGTCTTTCCAAGCCAAGGAAGGAGCTTTAGAGTGAACAGGGGACACTTGTGCATTCTCCAGTTTCATGTCCCCAGTGTTCAGATGAACACAGGGAAAGGTCAGTTGACAGACTTTTTACTGAGACTGCAATGAGCCAGACTTGCGTGGGTTGTATACAAAAAGCTGCTGTTGACTTGAAAGGTCTGGCCCTTAAGGAATCTATGACTTTGATGAGGTTGTGTAAAGCAAGGACTGGTGAGAGCAGTGACATTGCCTGGCCGTTCTGAGGCAGCTGGGCTCTGTTAATTAACTACAGGAAAAAGGACAAAAAAAGCTCAATTACGAGTTGCGGTCAGCAAGTGTGGGGGTTGGGAGAGACTGCTGTGACAGGCCACCGGAGGGAGGGAGGCTTGTTTGTATACTGGGGCGGGATGGTGTGTAGACATGCAGACTGTTAGTTTTTCCCTGCAGAAATATTGAGGACAATAAAGCCTACTGTTGCTTGGATATAGGAAGAAAAGGAATCAGACAGCAGCTAAGTTTTCCTACGTAAGTTGCATGTTGGCAGATGGTAGCCTCAGTTTGAGGGACATTCCAGCTGTTACTCTGTGCACATCAGCACTTTGAGCCAAGCTGCTGGTGTTGAGAAAGTGACAGTAGATAAGGCAGTCAGCCATTATGTGACAGCTGTGCCCAGTGCAGGAAGTCTCACTACGTGGAAAAGGAGCTGTGGCATTTCTGGGTTGTCCCCATTAGATTTTCTTTACCTTGCATGTAGTTTGTTGTTCATCTCTTGTCTGCCCATAGGTCTGAGGCCATTCAGAAAGGCCTTCATTTTCAAGGCTGGTGGGAGGAGAAGACTCTGCATGGCTTTCCTCCTAGCACGAAGGACGAACCCCTCCTGAGCCTCAGTCTCACCTCAGGAGGTCACACAGGCAGTACTAGAGAGAGGCGACTCTTACATCTGGGGGGAGGGGTTCGATTCCAGTTTCTGTAAATTGCTTAAAAAAATGACATAAGCAAACAGATAGTAGTTAGATGCATGTGTTTTGAGGTAAGGGTCAAATTTTGCAAAAGCCTGAAGGCTTTGTCCTTTTATTTTTTTGAGAGCTGTTGTATCCTCCGTCTGAAGGCACACATCAGCTGGGAAGGCATGAAAATGCCAAAGCAGGTGATTGTTAAACTCTAGTTAGCGTCTACAGACGGGTGACAGCTCTTGTTACTATTGTCCTGGCTGGCCTGGTGGTAGCTGCCCCTGTGGAGAGCAGAATGCACACTTGTCCGCTCTGTGCGTCACGTGGTGCCTGTGAGTGCTGGTTCCTGGGCTAGAAGGTGAGCCTCTGTGTGAGCTCTCCTTCCTCTGCACCAGGACTCAGGTACTCAGAGACGGGGGAGTGTGCCAAGCCAGATCCATCTATATTTTCCCATCCACAGTTTTTCTAAAGAGAAATTGCCCACTGAGAAGTAGACTGAGCAAGGAAATGGGAGATGCACACTTCAAATCAGCCTCCCTAGAATGGGGATTCGGGATATTCACGGGGTAAAGAAACACGGGAACATGCTGCATGGGTAAGGTGATGCATTGTCTGCACTGTGCAGTCAGACCTCACTGTTCTCCTCGGGATGCTGTTCTCAATATGCGCAAGTGTGGCCTGAGGGCTGGAGTGTTCTCAGCCTCCTGATGTCCAAGGTCACACTAATAAGACACATGAAGAGCCATGGCTGTATCAAAAATGGCCTTCGAGCCCCTAAACAGTAACTTGGCAACACATCAGAGGTGCTGTCTGTAGCTACACTAGTAGGAGACTGATAACACAGTCAGCTGTGGGACTCACAGAACTGGTGACTTAAAGCCAACTGAAAACAGGCAGCTAGAAGTGAGAAGCACTGGTGTGGCAACAGGCCAGCTGTAGTTGGTGGCAGGTTGTCATTAAAGCGGGGGTCCTGACCTCCCAGGTCTAGGAGATTGTTTGATAGCTGCGTGTCGAAGAAGGGCTCTCCCATCCTCAAAAGATGCTTTTGAGCAGCGAAACATCCACATTTACAGTAGTAAGCCCTTCCTTTAGTGAATGCCGGGCGCATGATTGTGTTCACTAGTCAAGGCTGTGGCTTTGGAGCAGCTCCCTTCTTTGTTAGCTGTACTTCCTTTGGTTTGCACAGAGGCTGTGAGTGCTCTGAGATGTCCTTGGTCTGCCTGTGGAGACATGGTTTCCTAGGCACAATACCATGGGCTAACAGGGAGTTCTGGGAAGGAGGGGTGGCCCTAGCATGTTGCAGCCCTGACAGAAATGAGCAAGGACTCGTGGACATGAAGAAGGTAGGGTCAGAAGATGCAGGTAGCATCCAGGAGAAACTGCTCTAAGAGGGGCAGGTGCATGCAAGGCCACGCCTTAGAGTGTGACATCATGGAAGGAAGACAGGCTCTCTTGGCTCTGGGTCCTTCCACACCTGATCTAGGAAGGCAGCTTCCTGTGGTGACTTAGGAAGGAAATGCCAGAGAGAGTTCCTACGTGAGGCTAGCCTCCTTGTGCCTGGGCTTACTGGGGTTCAGGATTAGCTGTCCATGACTGAGAAAGTACAGTAAAACAACATAATTTTCTTCTTCCAAAAAAAAAAAAAAAAAAGAAAAAAACAAAGGCTTCCACCTAAGTACTTAGAGAGGTCATTGAAGTGTGTTGACTTGGGAAGGAAGGAAGGAAGGAGAGCATGTACATTAGCTGGAAAATTCAGAGTCTCACCCTCAGATCAGGAGTCTCCTGAGCCACCACACATGTGACCATGGGAGTCATAGTCTTCCTGTGACCATGAGAATCCAACTTGGAAAAAAGAGAAAGGGTGGCAGAGGCTGAAGAAATGGCTTCGTGGTTAAGGACACTTGCTGCTCTTTCAGAGAACCCAGGTTCCATTTCTAGAACATGCAGCAAGTGGCTCACATCTGCTTGTAAATCCAAGAGATCTGAAACTCTTAAACACACACACACACACACACACACACACACATCCAGGAGATCCAATAGAGCAGCCTAGGTGAGAGCTATAGAGAGGCCAACATCAGGCTACCTCTAAGGCAGAGTGGCCTCTGGGCTCTGACAGAAACTTTTAATAAAGCAATGGGCAAATTTGCTTTTGAATCTTTATTCATTGTTTTACTTTAGATAGTCTTCTTACTTAGTCCAGGCTGGTTTAGAATTTGTCATCCTCCTGCCCCAGCCTCCCTATGTGGATGTGCCATTATCCTTGTCTTGAAGGCCTTTCAGAGAAATGACTTAAGTAGTACCCAGGGGTCCTGGTTCTTTCTCTCTGAAGGTAATTTTCACAAAATGGCAGATCATTTTCCATGCTTATGAGGTCATCAGCCTCATCTCATGGACTTGTCTCATCCTAAGCACTGTCACCAACACCCAGACACAGGGCTTCAGAAGTTAACAGTGATGAACGATCCAACACAGCCGTGGCCTAGAGCATTCTCTGGCACTTGGGAGCCATCCCACGGGTTGTCAAGATGGTGTCAGCCCACACAGACCAGCTTTGGTGTCTGAGGGCAGGTGCAGACTGCACACTATAGTCTTAGCCTCCCTGCCTCCACTGCCCGCCTTAAACGATCTCTCTCCCTAACTTAGGTTTCCTTAGGAAACAAGGAGAGAAGCAAAGGTGTCTTCTACAAGGCCCTCCAGAGCTGTCCCTGGGCAAAGGTAAGCTTTCAGTTTAAACAAAGAGCTATCTTCAGCTTCCCAAGGACCTTCCCGTGGGCCTCTGCCCAGAGGTGTTAGGGTGTGGCTTTGCAGGCCAGTGCCATAATCCAAAGGCTTTTCCTAGTGACTGTCCTGAGATGGGGCTCCATGGGGTTAGCTGCTTTCCCAATATTCCTCTGCAGTGCCCAGATGCCCATGCCCTACTCAGATGACGAGGTGTTGGGAAACCAAACTGAGGGTGAACTGTAGTGCTGCCAACCCTGCCAGCCACATAAGCGAGGGCTTCACTCTGTACCTGCTGCTGTTTGCAGTTTCCTCTGGACGTGCCGAGCTGCCTGAGAGGGCAGGGACTCACCGGGACCCTCCTTGCTCTTGCTCCATGCTTATGGCAGTGTTGGTCTTTCTCTGCTGCTAGGTGCTATACATGGATGCCATGGAGTACTTCCCGGATGAGCTGCAGGAGATCCTGGATGTGATGACTGAGAAGGAGCTCCGTGTGCGCCTGCCCCTGGAGGAGCTGGAGCTGCTGCTGGAGGGCTAGTCAGCCTCCAGAGAACGGGGCCCAGCTGTGGAGGGCTTTCTCCGCCGTTTGGGTGGGGTTTGGACTTCAGTGTTTTACATATTATATATGTGACCAACTATGTACAGATGGAGCCATACCAGTGATAAACCTTTTATGGTTGGAATGTGTGCAGCTTCTTATTTCTTCTGCTCAGCCCCGTTCAGTAGACACTGGCCTGTCGCACTGCTTGTGTTTATGATCCTGGGCTAGGCCTCTGACCCCAGCTATAGGGGTTACTTGACATTGAGACCTTCTTCCTCCCCTGGGCTGGTAACCATCCAGCACAGTAGATGGTTATTTAAGCGTTTCCTGTCTGGCTCTGGTGACCAGCAGTGTTTCCAAGGCCTTTGGGTCAGCCTGACACTGCTCAGAATCTGCCTTCCACCAGAATCCAGGTGCCCATGTGCTCAGTGGGCAGGGTACCACCACCCTCTGCAGGAAGCTAGAGAAGCCTGAACTATGACCACAGCTGCTTCTAGTTCACCTTTTTTTTTCTTTTTTCCCTTTTATTGCTCAGAGAGCTCTGTAGCACAGCCTTTCCAGTGTTGGCCTGGCCAGGAGGATGGCTTGTCTGTTGCTTGGATGCCTGCAGAGTCTCTTCATGGCTTTTAAAATGGTCTCCCGCAGCCCAGGCTGACCTTGAACTCTTGCTTCTCTTGCCTTTGCCTCTATTAATAATATTGTACTTATTTTCTGTGTCTACCCTTCCATGTACACATTTCTTACCCTTGGTCTTCCACATTCTCGCCAGGTAGCATCCTCAGTGCTAAATTTTGCTGCTGTGTAGCATCTCATGGATACCCCATCTCTACACAAATAAACATATCCACTTAGGGCTACCCATGTGCAGGTATCCTTTGGTAGACAGAACTCCTCACCCCCATGATAACCACACCCTAAACCTGGAACCCATGAATAACCTATGGAGGGTTCTTCAAGGATGGTGTCAAATGCTTATAATCCAAGCGAAGGTAGAGGATCATTGAGAATTTAATGCCAACCTGGCCAACACAAGTTCAGGTCCAGCCTGGACTCCAAGTTCTTAACAAAAATAAACAGAAGAATCTCAGATAGCTGGGCAGTGTAGGTGCAGGCCTTTAATCCTAGCACTCAGGAGGCAGAGACAGGCGGGTCTCTGAGTTCAAGGCCAGTCTGGTTTGGCTACACAAAGAAACCCTGTGTTGAAAACAAAACCAAGAATCCCAAATAAAGTGGGTTATCTGAGCAGGCGCAGTATGGTCTGAAAGTGAAAGCAGAAGGGGGACAGACACAGGAAGATGGACGAAGAGCCGGACTGCTGTTCTGGCTTTGAAGATGGAGAGGCCTGCGGTACAGGAGTAAGAGGCCTCTACAAGCTGCAAAAGGTCCTCGAGTGACAGCAAGTGCTGGCCTCTGCCCTGCAGCTACAAGGAGCTGAATTCTGCCAACCTGGACCTCAAGGAAACTGGTTTACTGCTTGAGCTTCCAGAAAGGAGTGCAGTGGATACCAAATTTCTAGCTTTCCGAGTGGTCTTTTGACCTGTAAACTGAGATATTTGTATTTCTTTTAGGGCTTCCCAGCCTCATAGGAACATGTATTGTCCACTATGGGGCCCTGCCGTCCACAGAGCAAAGCGGTCTCTGAAAACACAGCCACATTAACATAGCTTTTACTAGTCAAAGACTACTGGTCTTGTGGCTCTGTCTGAGGCACTGGCTTTGGAGACATGAAGTGGGGGCCAGGGCTGTGGTAGCCAATAAGCTTCCCTAGTGCAGGATCCCCGCCTCTCGTGCGGGGAGCTACAGGTGTGCAGCCAGTCCTTGCTGATGCTGACGACTTCTGTCAACCTGACAGATGCTAGAATCATTTGGAAGATACAACTTCAACCAAGGAAATGCCTCCCCCTCCATCAGACTGGACTACAAACCTGCTGGGTTTTTTTTTCCTTCCTTTTTTTTTTTTTTTTTTTCCCCCAAGACAGGGTTTCTCTGCGTAGCTTTGGAACCTGTCCTGGAATTCACTCTGTAGACCAGGCTGGCCTCAAACTCGCAGAGATCCACCTGTCTCTGCTTCCGAAGTTCTGGGAGGACATTTGTGCCACCACTGCCTGGCATGGGCATTTTCTTCATAAACAATTTATGTGGGAGGGCCCAGCCCACAATGAGTGGTGCCATCCCTAGGCAGGTGGTCCTGGGTGTATGAGCAAGCAGACTGGATGAGCCAAGGAGCAGCCTCTTCCAGGGCTTGCTTCAGGTCCTGTCTCCAGGTTCCTGACTTGCCATCATGGACTGTAAGCTTGAGATGAAATAAACTCTGCCCCCACCCCCAGGTTGTTTTGGTCATGGTCTTCAGCACAGCAGTAGAAAGCAAACCAGACAACCCTTTATTGAGAGCAGAGAGCACAACACGACCGCAGACGGAGACGACTGATGGGTACCCTGCACAGCATCCTTCAAGACAGGTTGTCTACTAGCAAACTCACTGGGAAATGGATTCCTTGGGCAGCTTCCCATCCTCCCAGGGGTACGGGGAACTCACTAACTTCCCTGAAGGAACTGTGGGTCACTAGAGATACAGCCCCTCAGGGGTGCCTTCTTGTTTTTTATAAAGAACGTTCTCTTTAGATTTTTTGAAGTCTTCATTTGTAACTTTCATCCTGCGTTCCCGCAGGGCCATCAGGCCAGCTTCTGTACAGATTGCCTGAAAGAAAAAAGAGTATGAGCCGGGCATGGTGGGGCATGCAAGGCCTTAATCCCAGGTCAGTCTGATCTACAGAGTTCAGGATAGTCAGGGCTACACAGAGAAACCCTGTCTCAAAAAACCAAACTAAACTAAACCACGTCAAAAAAGAACAGTATGTGCAGCCTGAAATGCTTATTTTTATCTTTTGGAATTCAGAGACATATTTTGAAATAAAGTAAAAGACAGACTAAACACAAGTTGCTCATTTGGGAACAGGTTATTTTTTTTAAATGTCTCATGCATCATAATTTCTGAAAGAATCCAAGATGTATAAACTGGGAAGATTTTAAGGGAATCAACTGGCCCAGGGACCTGGGGTTCTGAGCTGTGGCTCAGGTTCTGACAGCTGTTGTGGTTTGGTAAATTCTTGTAGCTTCACTTTCATTACAGGTAGTTCTAGGAGGTGGAAAAAGTGATACGCCAAAGGCAGGGAGTAGCGTGTGTGTCTATTTCATTTACTTACAGTTGAAACACATCCCCATTAGATACATTGGTGAACAGTAATCATGCTAATGTGTTTTCTTGCCAAAAGTCAAACAAGAGCCCTTGTAACACATGCATTAAAACACTGGGCACTGGGGAGGTGGCTCAGGAGTTAAGAGTGTATGTTGCTCTCGCAGAGGACCGAGTCTGGTAGCCACTTTGGGCCCACGACTATCTGTAACTCAGCTCACCGTACCCTGATGCCCTTCTGTAGCCTCTGCAGGTACCTATGCTCCTGTGCACATTCCTCCCCCACATGATTAAAAACTTAAAAAACAAAACAACCCCCCCCCAATTCCTAAACAAACAAACTAGCAAAGTGAGAATTCCACAATCCTGGCACTGAAAGTTGTTGTGGAAATGGCCATCAGATTATTTACTTTACATGGTTCAACCAAAAAGTGGCTATGTATGAGGATAGGAAAGGTCAGCCATTTAAATTTAGGTGGCGGGCATGTAGGCATACACATACTGGTGTCACAACTTTTCTGAATGCTTGAAAATTTTTAAGAAAAGAAGTTCATGTAGTACAATTAAAAAGTATTTTTTTAATGAAAAAAAAAAACCCTATTAAACTAAGCTATTTACCCTACTTTTGCAGGACTGATGCTAATGACCTCAGTGCAGGCACTGGCCCACAAAAGCACCCTGTGTGTCTCTTCTACCTAACCAAGGCACCCACAGAGGAGCCCACTCTGCTCCCACATTCATTGCTCAAAGGCCTTGATAGAATTGGGCAGCAGGAAAACTGCTATTAACTCATATTTACAACAAAATCAAAAGGTAAAATCAAATAGTCCATCAATACAAGGTGGGAGTAAGAACACAATGTGGGGGACCCTCTGCAGCTCTGGGGTGACCTTTCCCAGCATGCACTTCCCTGATAGGACTAAAGAAGTCTCACTTAAAAGATCAGGTCACTCAGGCCCGGTACAGTGAGTGGGTGATAAACTTAATGTTAGTGACTGATCCTTGTGGGTTCACAGGGGTGGGGTTATTTACTTCATGGAGTAATGTATTAAAATGGCTTCTAATAAAAAGCAGATCTTCCATCTGGATGTAGTATTAAACCCACAAACGGCTGTGATAGTAAAATCCACATATTGGCCTAACTGCCACCCCTAGAATCTGCAGTCTTTCCTAACAGGCCAATTCCCAGAGGCAAGCCCACCCAGGTACTCACCTTAATGTCGGCCCCAGAGAGGTCATCCTTTGCCATGATCAAGTCATCCAAGGTTACGTCATCAGCCAGTGTCATCCTGCTTGTGTGAATCTGAAAGATCCGCTTCTTGGTCTTCTCGTCAGGCAGGGGGAACTCGATCTTCCTGTCAATGCGGCCTGCAGGTACAGAGCTTTCAGTCGCTTCCATCCAGACCCAGACTTGGCTCCCATCAGGCCTCAGCCCACCCCCACGGGCGTCAGGTGAGTGATATCCTAACATTTACTCCTATGCTTCGTGAACATCTGTATCTGAACTCACCCCACTTGAACCCCCTGATTTGCTACCTTCAGGAATAAACATAGGGACATCTTGAATGACATCAGTGACCTACCTTAGAAACATCACAAATGATAACAGCATTTATGGCTTCCAGCGCCATCTGAATGTAAAGACTAAACCATGGCCCAGGACTCTTTTCTTTAAGGATGAAAGCAAGTGCTTGAGGCTAGAAATTCTGAGTCTGGGAAGGAGAAAACTAACAGTACAAACCTAGACTGCGAAGGGCCAAGCTGCAGAGCGTCACCCTCCTAGCCAGGATCTCCAGGACAGATTTGAACTCGTATGTGCGTGTGGAAAGGACTTCAGGACCTACCACCTTGTTTGCTGAGATCAGGGTCCCTCACTTGGAGCTTGCCAAAAGCAGTTTACTAGGCAAGGAAGCTGGCCAGTGAGCCCACTATCTGTCTCCACCTCCTCAGTGTGGGGGGTCACAGTTGCAAACCACCCACCCACCTTTATATGTGCATTCTGCAGATTAAATTCAGGCCCTCCTGCTGATAGGCATTTTTCTGATTAGGCCATCTCTCCAATCAAGGAGACATGTTTTTAGTAAATTATGGTGCACTATGGTATAACACCCCCCCACCAAGCACATTTCAATCACAAACCCATTAATTTTACACAAGGAAAAAAAAAAACAGGAAAATTTGACCTGGTCTGATAAGTGCTGGATCCAAAGTTTCTATTCGGTTTGTGGCCATGATAACTTTTACATCTCCCCTCGAATCAAATCCATCCAGCTGGTTCAGCAGCTCCAACATTGTTCGCTGAATTTCTCTCTCACCTCCAGAGTTTGAATCATATCTTTGGAAAAAAGAGAATTGAAGACCCAGCCATTCTGTTACAAGAACAGGTACAGCAAACATGCAGCATGAAACTCAACGTTCTTTTCTCGGCCCAAGGCCACTCCCTATCACTCTGGCAAAACAGTATCAGCATCCATGCTTTGGTCAAGACTTGCTTCTAAAGTTTACATCTAACAATGGCCACTGCAATGGATTAGTGATTAATGCCTTCTAAAGGGCTAGCGGGAGCTGGCATAGGCCCCTTTTCTCCACTGTTCTGTTGGATGTTGGAAGATCCCGGACAGAAGCAACCCTGAGCAGACACTGATGCTAGATCCTGGTTTTAGACGTCACGGCCCAGAACAGAGGGGAGACAAATTTTTGCCTTTTTACCCCCCGCCATGGTGTTTTGTTTGCAGCAGCACAGATGAAGACGCTTTTCAACTATTACAGATCACGAAACTGCACAGCAACTCTGTGCCTCAACTGACACCATTTTTTCTGTCTCCAGGTTGGCCCAACCTACTAACTGGAGGGCAAGGACTACCATCATTATAGCAAGTCCCTGGAGTCTGAATGGCCCTGGCTCCATCCAAGTGCTACGACATGATGGTTTCCAGCCATCGTGGGTGTTTAGGCCCATGGAGGTCAGAGAGCAAAGTATACAGAGGCCATGCACAGCAGGGACTCGCTCCACAGGAAGGCCTATCACTGTTTAGCTCACAAACAGTTCAAGGGTGAGTTTACCTTTTGGTCCCAATGGCATCGATTTCATCAATAAACACAATGGATGGTGCATGTTCTTCAGCAACTCGGAACAGCTCCCGAACGAGCTTGGGCCCGTCGCCTAGGTACTTCTGAATAAGCTCTGAGCCAACCACTCTCAAGAAAGTGGCTGAGGTTTGGTTAGCTACGGCTTTGGCCAGTAACGTTTTACCTATTTTAGAAAAGAGTAGAGCAAAGGAGAAAGCCATGTAACTGTTGCTAAGAACCCTCACTCACACCCCCAGCAGCTGTCTGGTGCTCTGCTCTCCCAATCTAACTATATACTGTGACTACTTTGAACTCTCCTGAAAGTCATGATCATGTCAGCAAATACCTTATACTTGGTTATTTTTTTCACATTTAAACTGTGTGTGTTGTGCGTGTGTGGAGCATATGCCACCGACCACATGTAGAGGAGAAGACAGCTTTGCAGAGGCCATCCCTTCTTCCACCTTCCCATGGGTTCTGATGATCAAACTCAGGCTGCCAGGCTTGTGCAGCAGGAACCTTTATCACTGAGCCGTTTCTGTGCCCTACTCGGTTATTTGTAGACTACTAAAACAGTGGCTCACCATGGGCCACACACTGGCTGTCCTGCATAGCAGATGTTTACATTATGATTCATAACAGTAGCAAAATTAAAGATATGACATAGGAACAAAATAGTTTTATGGCTGGGGGTCATCACAACATGAGGAACTGCACTAGGATCGCAGCACTAAGAAAGTTGAGAGCCATGGCCCTAAACAATCACGGTAATTACCTACAGAAAGAACAGCTCTGCACTCGCAATACAACAACCTGGGTTTTTTTTTTATGAAAGGCAGCTTTTTCCTGGGTCCCTTCTAAGTTGTATATAAATTTAACACAACCAGATATGGTGGTAAAGGTCTAGAATCTGGCATTTGGGAGGTAGAGGCAGGAGGATTAGAAGCTGAATGTCATCCTGAGCTATACAGTGACTTCAAAGCCAGCTTGGCCTTTATGAAGCTCTATGTCAAAACTAATAAACGAATAAACAAAAAAACTTGACCCATCCAACCCAGTATTAAAGACCAAATAAACTCTGATGAAATCATCTGGGAAATACTCTGGGAATCCTAGGCCTGACCCTAGGACACAAAACAGCTTCCAGCACAGGCCACAGGGCCCATTACCAGCAAGGCGGTACTGGGGGAGCTTGTGAGTGGCCAAAATACTGGAAGACCAGTCAATGGAGCCCACAGACGTGAGCTGGGGAAGCTCAGGAGACTTCTCAGTCTGTGGTATGTCTTTCCCAAGGAGGGGGGCAGGGGACAGGTCCTCTCATGGATTTCAAATAGTGTTCCCAGTGTTTCTGGTCCCTGCTATTTTTCTTTCAGGACACACACACACACACACACACACACACACACACACACACACACACACAAAACAAATGAGTTCTCAACCTTGGTTGACCGTGTACACTGAATCTACTTTGGGAGCTCTAAGCAATGTGGGTCCCAGCTCCCAAGACCAGTCACCAGAGTGCTCAATTCAAGGCTTTTAGAGCTGTTAAGACCGTGGCCTTTTGAAAGTGAGTGAGGAGGGCTGGCTGTTGGCTCAGGGTGCTGAGGCAGAATTGGTACCCTTAAGCTGCTGGAAAATGACTGAGGGCCAGGCTTTGTGACAACATGTGGTAATGACGCTCTCCTTGGTCATGGGGAGAATGGCGGGTGAGAAGTCCTAGGAGGCCAAACAGGACAGTACAGACAGGGTAGGGCCTTTCGAGAGGATGAGATCTTAGTGTCCAGAAGCAGCCAAGGAAACCTGCCAGGTTACAGGGAATCACCGAACCCCTCCACCTCCCCGGCCTGCCCACTCATGACCACAGTGTCCACATCTCACCATTACATGCTGGTGGATCAGGGTTCTGCACTGCAGCTGCAGCCCTGCACCAGCTCAATGCTCTGTGGCCCTGGACTCAACTCCAGCCTCTCTGTAGCTTTACTTTGTCATGAGATGAAGCAAAGTGGTGTCTTGTAGCTTCAGGCTTCTGGGGAAGGGACTTCTCAGTCCCTTGGTAGTTGTTTACACGGGTCAGTTAGAACTCAACGCCAGTTCTCTCAACAAATGACCACTTTTGCTCTAATGTGCAGAGAGTAACCAACTGCTAAGTATTGGTCTCCACAGCTTAGGACAACTAACTGCAATGAATTAAATGTGTATGCATGCTTATCATCATCCAACAAAAACTTACTAGCACTACAGCACTAGTATACATAGACCTGATCCAAACAGCATGGAATAACTGAGCGCCATCTCCACTGCGGGTCTGATGTTTGGCCATGTTCCAAATCAATGTGTGCATGCCTTTGAGGCCGGGACGAGCACGCTCAATCAAGGCTGAGAACTTGTTTACGTTGTGTGTAACGGGTGGTATTGGTTTGCTGGCCAGAACCTGTGGTATTTTGCATGCTAAGCACTATGTTTCACCTCTCCCTCCCACCCAGCCAGAGTTAAACTAAGGAACTGTAGTGTTGTCTATCTCGCCAGTGCTGCTGGAGATACAGTGATGTGTCTAGAGCGTCTAGCATGGCATACCTGTTCCTGGCGGACCATAGAGAATGACCCCCTTAGGGGGCTTTATTCCCATCTCCTCATAATACTCAGGATGGGTAAGAGGAAGCTCCACAGATTCCTAAAGAGAAGAAACATTTGGTAAAAATTAAAGTCTAAATGAAGTTATTAGCATGATTTGACATGAAAATAACTTGCTTTTCACAAAAATAATGAGGGACTCCCCTCTTCTGAAAGGAACTACACTTGACTGCCACTTGAGCTAGGCATGCTGAAAAGGACATGCATCTCACTTAAGTTTCTTATTGTCTCCCTTTCTGAGCCATGCTGTTTCCATTTTTCTTTTCCAGAAGTTAGCCTTAAGCATCATTTAAGTCATTCCGGAGCAAAGTTAAGACTGAAGAAAGTTAAAACTCACCCTTTCTGATTAAACTAGATTAAAAGCTAGAACCCGGAAAGACATCCCAACGGCTGTTCCCACCTACGGTATTACATTATGTGCTCAGCTCAGCTATCTGAGAGGTCAGCAGTGGACATCTGTGTAGCCCTGACTGACCTCCCTAGGGAAAGCAAACAGAGAGCTGGCCCACAGTCACGGAATAACCACCTCTCCCCAGGTTCCAAGACCACAGAGGCACAGGATTATGTCCTAGGTGCCAGTACCTGTGAGAGTCTGTGTAAGTACAGACACCTCTATACAACAGCACATGTCAGCACACCTAGAACATCACACTCTCACAAAACAACACTAAATATGCAAAGTGTTACAATGCTGCAGGACTATCAGTTTACTGTGACGTCAGTTCCTAACAGTACAGAACTCACAGACTCACAGCTGAAATGAGTCAATAAAGAAAAACAAATATGCGAAACAACTCCAAAGCATCCTAGACATGACAGCTAGAAGAAACCAAGAAGTCTGGAAACCCGGAGCTGGTCCCTGCCATACCTTAATTTCCTGGATTTGGTTGTCCAGGCCCCCAATATCTGCATAGGTCTCCTGAGGGGCCTTTTCCACCTTCATCACTGTGACCAGGGGATCTGTGTCATCCATTAGCACCCCTATCACAGCATGCACCTGCAAAGGATCAAGGCGCAACGTGATCGTGAGGTCCCTTTACCCTGTTTATGACAAGCAGTATCAGTTACACTATCTTTCTCTCCTGGTGATCTACTTCTGGGACAAACAGCCAGGTCTAAAAGGAAGAACATACTCTTCTGGGTTTCCTTAAAGACCAGCAACTCACCTTGTGGTTGAGCAGGACTGAACAGCCTGGCTCCAGCAGATCCTTGTCCACAAATGACAGGATGCTGACGTAGTGTTCTGAGCCCACCGATGTGGACACAATGGCGTGATTATCATCAATGATCTCTTCCAAGGTTCCTACAGACATGGGAGTACCCCTGAGATCGTCCACTTTCGATCTTTCCTCCTACATAGTGAACCAGGAGGGAAAAGCACATTAGCTCTTAGAGCAGATGGTCCGTTTGTCTGCTAGTCACAAAGCAGCAAAGCCTGCTTCTGCATGGATTCATTCCTGTTCTGTGAATGTGCATCTGAGTGTGCAGAGACCACAGACCTTGCTGTGTGCACACACATGGCCCCAGAGGGCTCTGGGTGGTTCTCTAGCCTCTGCTGCCTAGCTTGCTGTAGGGTGCCAGGACTACAGATGCTGCTTCTCCTGGACTTTTGCCTCTTCAAGGGTAACCTGTTTTCCAGGGTGCGCAGCCAGTGCTCTTACCTGCTGTGCCACCTCCCTGGCCCAGAGCAACTGATGCTTTTAAAAGCTAGCCAGTAAGAGGCCTGCCTGCCTGGTCAACTACGTGAATCCTGGCTGCGTGAATCCCACTCACATGGTAAAGAAGACGGTCGTGGAAACTTCTTCACTCACCTCTTGCTTTTCTTCCAAAGGTTTCATCTGCTCCTGATTTCTGATGAACTCTTCCTCCATGAGAAGATAGTCTTTTATTCTCTCTAACTTCAGCAGCTTCAGGCGGCACTGAGTGTGAGGCGTTACTGGAATTAAAACATAGGGCTTAATTTAAGGAGCCTAAAAATTTACAACCAAGTTTTACTTTATGCTCATCAGAAAGCCAGTAAGGACCTGAAGTGCAGGGCTGGCAGCATGGCTCAGTGGTTAGAGTGCTCACTGCTAAGCCTGAGGACCTGACTCTATCCCTCAGACTCACAGTGGAAGGACAGAACTGAGTCCTGTCAGCTGTGCTGTGACCTCCACATGCTCACAACTGCATCTGAATGTGCATGCACACACACATACACACACTCTGTGATAAAGGAGCTGAAAAGATGGCTAGCAGTTAGGAGCATCTGTTGCTTTCCCAGAGGACCTGGGTTCAGTTCTGAGTGTCCATATGGCAGCTCACACAGTGCTTGGCACACACACAGAGTGCACATATACACAGGCACGCAAAACACTCATACACACAAATCTTAAAAAAAGAAAAAACCCAAACTAATAAAGAGTAAACTTAAGTTCAGACATGACCCAAATTTCTATATTGTAATACTTCATTTTACAGAATGAAAATGTTTCTGGGACTGGATTTGTAATTTAAACTGTATTTAAATTGTGGGGCACAGTTAATCCCAGTCCCCAGGAAGCTAAGGCAAGGGGATCATGAACCTAAGGACAGCCTGGACAGCACAACAGACAGGGCCATTAGAATAGAGGCACTTGCTGTGCAAGCCCAATGACCTCCGTTCCATCCCCAGAAAAGTGACAGGAGAGAACCAACTCCCAAAAGTTGTCCTCTGATCTTTACACGCACACTGCAGCATGTGTGTGCCCCCTGTAAAATAATAAAAATCAACAAAGCAACAAATGATTTACATTTTTAATACCTCCGTGGGGCTGGCTATTTAAAGACAATGAATGGAATTTCTTTCTTTTATTTTTTGAAAAAAGGTCTCTATGTAGCCCTGGCTGGTCTGGACCTCAGTGACCTATCCACTTGTCTGTGCCTCCTGAGTGCTGAGATTAAAGGCATGTACCACAGTGCACTGTGAATGGGATCTCTTAGCATATGACAAACTCATGTAATATTGCATTTTAAGAAAAAAATATAACTTCTACACCAATGTAGTAGAAGGCTCCACATGAGCTAAGTAGAGCAGGGTCAAGAAGCCCGTGCTGATGCTTCAGTCTCCCGACACTTCATGCCCCCCCCCCCCCCCCCCGCGCTCCACGCAGCGGAGCTTCCTGGGCTGGGAAGAGAGCAGAGGAACAAGGTCATTACCCAGTGGCAGTTTGCTGGCAGCATCTGGTCCCTTTGTTTTCTTCTTCTTTTTCCCCACTCTAGTTGGGACAGGAGGTTCATATTTCTTTTTCTTATCCTTGAGTTTTTAGAAGAATAGGAAAAAGAAGTCACATGGAAATCATAAAATGCACACTACCATCTATTTCTAGGGGTAAAAATGTTTCCATCTTTTAGGATATTTAAAATAATTGTCCTTTTTATTAATACTTAAAAAAATTAAATTATATTAAATTAAATTATATTATTTCCCCCTTCTCTTTCATCCCTCCAATCCCTGTCAACCCCACACTTAAACTGATGGCCTCTTCAATTACTGTGACATACATGACTACAACCCGCTGACTCTGTAAAATCACTGTCTTTTAAAAAGCAGATCCACATTCCTGCACTCCAAGATATAGCTGCACTGAGCAAATGTAATCTCCTTAGAGAGATGGCAGTGACTCAGAAGTTTTCCAGTAAGTAGAGAGATCAGCACTGAGTTACTTGCCTGAAGTCTGAGTACGGTGAGGCCCTTCTCACACCCAGTCTGTTGCACACGCAGGTGAGGCCCTTTTCTCATACTCAGCCTGTTACACACTCAGGTGAGGCCCTTCTCACACTCAGGCAATTTACTGTAAACCTTCCACGATGTTCACACTTTAGAAATCATTACCTCAGGCTAATACGCTTCTCAAAAACAGGAAGCAGCTGATCCATTTGTATTCTGGGTTACTGAAATAACACCACATCACTTTGATTTTTAAAGTTTGTGGCTCTAGAAAGAACTCACTGAGACCTAATGGTGGCTTCCACAGCGTGATCAGATCACGTAAGTATCTTGCTTCTTATTTACCTTGTCATCCTTCTTGCCACCCCCAGGACCATGGCCACCACTCTGACTTTGACCCTGTTTAGAAAAAAAGAGAAGAAAATAGAAATTCAGAATACAATCACTTCATAAGAACACCCTACTGCTACTATGATTCTAAAACACAGCACTTCCCATTGTGACACTTGGAAGCCCATGTGCCTTGCAGCCCAGGTATGCCCTCAGTGTGGAGAGATTCTGCAAATAACCCAACTCTCAGAACCAAGAACCACTCTATGATGTGGCTGTCACTAGGGAGGCTGAACCAGGACATCCTCTAATATAAACTCCACCTCAGACTCCAGGGAAGCTGTCGCACATACTCCGCAGTCACTTATCTCCCCAGAAGACTTTCCACAGCAACTACCGTGCTCCGGTCACGACAGCCTGGCTCCTACACAAGTTTCTCTTCCCCACCTGAAAAGCTCTCACCTGAAGGTGTTACTTAACGTATGAAAAGCTCACTGGGATTTCTGATTTGAAAACTGCTTAACACAGGGCAATGACTCAAACTGAGGTACTTTAAATATCTTTGTAGAAATATCTTGTTCAGTGCACGTGTGGGTGCATGTGTGCATGCCAGAGGACACATGTGGAAGCCAGAGGACAACTTGTGGGTCCTAGAGATAAAACTCCAGTTGTCAGGCTTGACGCCAAATGCCATCCCATCAGCCCAATGATGGTGTTTTAAAGATGAGTAACAATGAAGCTACTGACCAGAGAAGCCATTCAGGCCCCAGCCAACCCCAGGCAGGCACCGCTAACTAATAAACTGGCAGTTTCATTATCAAGACACAGGGTTACTGAGCAGAATTAATGCCAAACATATCCCACCACACTCAAGGTTCTTAAATCTTTGTGTTTTACTCTGAATGTAGTTAAGGGCTGAAAAGAGATTCTGGGAGACAGTTCTGCTGAAATAGGATGTACAAGTTCGAGCCTTTAACATTTCCTTGCTTTCTAGGGAACTTTGCTCATGACTGGGCAACCAGCGCCTGGAAGGTGTCTATTATGGGCCCAACTCTGTGCTAGCTATTTTTCCTTCACGGCCATTAATTCAACACAATCTCAACATAGGTCCAAGCCTGAAAACGTGGCCTGTGGAATTTGAATTCTGGCCCCATCACTACAGACTATGTGGCTGTGGTTAAGTCAGGTTTCTCCACTGAGCTTTGGTGTCCTTAAGTGGATGACACTAGCTCCTTCCCCCTACTGCTGAAGATGAATACAGCAAATATGGCCTTAGCACTTCTATGAATTAAAGTTCTAGCGATAGACTACTGTGCCAGGAGTCTAACCAACACTGTGGCTTCACGGGTGTTGGTTCAAAGCCAACCTGGTTGCATTCCTCACACTCTGTCTCTCTCTCCACCCCATCCCCATTCTCTTCCAGTTCATGCCTTCTTATGTGGCCTTCAGCCTCCCAAGAGAGAGTTAGTACCCTTGAAAATAATCAGTTTGTTGAGGAATATTGTTCTGAGGTATTTTGTTTATGTTGCATTTGTTTAACTCTGTGAAGCTGTGTTACTCTGCCTGTCTAAAACACCCAATGATCTAATAAAGAGCTGAATGGCCATTAGCGAGGCAGGAGAGAGAAATAGGAGGGGCTGGCAGGCAGAGAGGATTAATATGAGGAGAAATCTGGGTGAGAGAGAGATCTGGGAAAGAGCGAGCAAACAGGAGGACTTCAGGGGCCAGCCACTTGGCTACACAGCCAGCCACGGAGTAAGAAGAAAAGAAAAGGTATACAGGAATGGAGAAACATAAAAGCCCCGAGGCCAAAGACAGATGGGGCAATTTAAGTTAAGAACAGCTGGAAAGCAAACAAACTAACTAAAACAAAACAAAAAATGCAAGCTAAGGCTGGGAAGACATTCAGAACTAAGAATAAGTGCCCGAGTGCGATTTATTTGGGAGCTAGGTGATGGGCCCCCCAAAAGCCCATAAAAGCAAAAACAACCGACAACAATCAGCTAATCTGTCAGTCCTCCTCAAAGGCATCAGTTGCTCTGTAATGTCCTTAGCTCAGCATGACTAGCCTTCGTCTACTTGGCTACACAGCAGCAGTCCCAGGTTCACCTCAAACCTTTCCAGTCTGGCTCCAGCGGATGACATTTTCCTCACCTCCAGGACATCTTACATGTCTCTCAGTCTCAAAGAAGAGCTACACCTTTAATAAAGCTCAGCTAAAATATGCTGGGCAGAGCGCTAAGCATTCTTGGAATATTATCTCATTTGATTTTAGGAAGATTTCTTAAAAGTGTGTGTGTGTGTGTGTGTGTGTGGTGACCTGGCATACCAGAAGATGGTGTTAGACTTCCTGGAGTTGGGGTTACTGGCGGTTGTGAGCATCCTGGCACGGGTTCTGGGAGCAGAACCTGGTCCTCTGGAAGTGCAGCAAGTGCTCTTAACCCCTTCTCCTTATAAAGAGACCAAGGTCCAGAGAGGTTAAAGGACTTACATATTGTCACAAAGCTTGTTAGATAGAAAGGCAGAAATCACACTAGGGTGTTTCTTAACTGCTCTAGAAAAGATGGGATCTGTCTTCCACCAATGGCCACTTGACTGCACTTCAGTTTCCTCACTAAAACGGGGATATTAATAATTACCTTCGGGGTTGTTCTAAGAAATAAGAACTACGGAAAAATGTCCGTCGCACGTTCAGAATACTTTCCAGGACCTTTGTGTGTTCAGATCTTGCAGCTCAGGCTGACCTCAAGGCTGTCTCAAGTTCTTGGCATTTTCTGCTCCTTCTGCCCGGCCCCTGCTTCCCTCAGATATTAGCACGGATTACTCCCCTACTCCCTCAATCTAGGCCTCTACTCAGATTTCACACCCTCGGGGGTCCTTCGCTGACACCCAACAAAAACAGCCACTTCTCACAACACAGCTCACACCGCTGGCTGGCCCTGCCCTGCCCGATCCTGCTCTCCGACGTGTTTACTGTCTCCCTCCTCTAGAATGGAAGCGCCATGGAGCGGCGACGTCGTCAACCGTGCTTCCCCGTTACCCTCACTGCCTAGACCGGACTCCGGGTCGACAAGCCAAACGGGAGAGCGCCGAGTTGTCGGCGGATTAATTCGACGCTGGTTCCGGGGTTCAGTCACTGTCACCCGGCGTCGGCCAGGCTGCCCCGCTCGGCTCCCAGCAGGTCAGTCCCCGGGATTCCGCGGGGCGCCGTCCGTTCCGCCCGTGTCCGCCAGGGATCACGAACCGCTCCGCCCCGCCCCACGTCCGCCGTGGGGCCCAAGCGTGGGCCGCGTCGTCTCGTCCTCCCGCTTTCGGTGCCCGCGACCACCGGTCGAAACCCTTAGTCACTCACCATCTTTCCCCAGTCGTCTGAGCGGCCACCGCCGGAAGTGCATCCACCAAAAACGACCCCGTCAGAAGCGGAAGTGACTAAGGAAAACTACGGAAGCCTATAAGTACCAACTCCTTCGCAGGCGCAGTTGCGCGCGAAGGGCTGGTCCCAGTTTGGTACAGAGATTGGTTAAACACTTGTGGACCGAACTTGAAAATAGTTTACTTGAGGGAATTCTAAGTAGCTACTGTTGGGCTATTGTCAGTAACTTAAGACAATGATCTTGGCTGTCAAAAAATTAGAGCAATTTGAAAATTAAAAAAAATATGCAAAAATTATAACCGGAAAGAAGTTTTGGCCCCAAGAACCAAGAACTGGAATGGTAAAGTTGATGTGTACACAGCATTTAAGTTCTTCTTTTGTTTCTTGAATTTGCCAAATCTCCTGAAAATGCTGAAGTTATCTAAACTTGAGAGATATCTGCCCTTCCCACCCCCCCAACAAGTGACGATGACTCTGGCAAATACTGTGTTAAAATTACCTTTGAGGGACTGGAGAGATGGCTCAGCAGTGGTAAGCAGGGGACACAGGTGGCAGCTGACAACCCTCTGTAACTCCAGTGCCGTGGGATCTGTCGCCCCCGTCTGGCCGCATCATGCACTGCAGGCACATGGTGCTTGTAATAAATGCAGGCAAACACTCATAAATCTTTAAAAACATTAAAAAAAATTATTCATCTATCAGTATTGGGAACGTTTATTATTGATGTATCCATGGTGACATCATGAAAATGTCAACTACCCTTTCTACTTCCAGAAATTTCCATTAACAGGTACCCAAGACTGTGCATTGTGTGATTGCAGCCAAAAACAAAACAAAGTCTTTAAGCCACCAAGAGCATGAACTGAGAGCATTTAGAAAACTGTCTTCAAGACTAAGTCCTAAGAGACCAGGGTGTTTTATAATGAAAATTTTCAGAGGAGAAACACATGCCCCCACCCCCCCGAACATAATGTTTTTACTAATTGTTTAGGAATTTCATACATGAATCCTGATCACATTTGAGTCCCATTCCTCCCAGGTCTACCCTCCCCCCCCTGGGGGCCCCCCCCCCCCCGCAAAACACACCTCGTCAAATTTGTGTTGCCTGCATACGCATCAGAGCATGGTCAAACTCCCAGTGGCCGGCTCCTTAAAGAACACTGAGTCCTTCCGCAGCACGGCCAGAGCCAGCAGCTGTGAAGGGCTCCACTTCAGCATCTTTATCACAATTTTTAAAGACTCTCTTCAAAAGCCACATATCCGGACTGGAAAAACACGATCTCGACACTGTTCCTGCACTGGCTACCAAGACCAAAGCAGGCCATTGGGGCTGGAGAGGTGGCTCAAGGGTTAGGAGCACCTGCTGTTCTTGCGAGGTTAGTCCTAACACTCATAGTGGGGTGGCTCACGGCTTCCTGTAACTCCAATTCCAGCGGATCCCATGCCTTCTTTGGACATCGAGGGGACCTGCAAGCATGTGGTATGTAAAATAGTTAAACATTTTTAAAAAGAGATTGAGGACACTGAAAATGGACAGAGTCCCAGTGAGACTGAGGAGGGACACCCACCCGGCTTGGGACCCTGGTCAGGTGTTAAGCATTGCTATTAATTAGTGCTATTAGTATTAATGAAAAGCTCTTTAAGTTCTTAATGTAAGTGTTCCTTATGCTCTTTTTCCTAAATGAGGAGAGAGTTTGGGGGAGAGGAAATCTGACTTCCTGATTAGCAGCCATTGAACTCTGTCCTGGTGCCCTGGCTGCTTTGAACAAAAGGACTGTTAGCCAAAGAGCCAGCATCTTGGGTGTTTTGAATACCCCACACAGACACCTTGAGAAAATGATACACAATTACAGTTGATTGCCTTGGTTGTTTCAAACACTCTGTACCGGGCTTTTTGCTATTACCTCTATGAACTCCAGATGACCCTGCAATCACGTCTACCTAGGCCAGTTGGGGCTCATTTTCCCTGATGGTCTAGCAGAGGGATTGCTGTAAGAGGGATGTTAAAGAGGCAAGATGATTGGTGCAAACACAAGTCTTCATCAGCACACGAGGTGTATTCTGCTGACCTAATCTCCTTCTCTGCCTATGCAAACCGGCTGCTCCAAGCTTGCTCACTGAGTTGACCTGTCGACCCTCCCTGTGCTGCTGCCCAGGATGTGGTAACATTAGACTCAATAAAAGGCTTCCTTTGAGTGGTCTTTTCTTGCCTGCTTTAGTGGTAATGGAAGGAAGTTAAATGTACCCTTGAGGGGCTGGAGACGAACTGGTAACACAAAAAAAGAACAGTAGAGACAGCAGAGTTGTGGTGACGGCAAAGGCAGAGAACCCACAGTGGCAGCCACGGCTTAGATCCTGCCGTTGACAGCTGAGCAATCGGTAGGTGGCGACTGAATAGTTTGACAACAGCCAGAGCTGGATGAAGAGTGATGTGAACAGAGACGCAAGGAGTGGAGAGCTGAGGCTGTGACAGGCTTGCCGGGACAGTGAAGGGAGGCTATAGCTACTGGTGGCTAGGAGAATTCCAGAGAGCTGTCACGTGCTCAGGGCCAAAGGTCTCAGATACCCCAGCTTTAAGAGTGGCTGGTGTTAAGTACTAAGGGACCCTGGTTTCTGAGGTCTACACCAGAGCTGTACTAACACGGGATGCTGTCAGCTGCTGAGCCCCAGTATGCAGGCTCACGTGGATGTTGCCACGCCAGCTGCAGCCAAAGGCTGTGGGGTTCCTGATGTCCCCAGGATACAAGAGCTATCTATGATGCTGGTGGAGCTAAGGATCTCACTATCCAAGAGCTATAGCAGGATTAGAACACTAGAGGGCACCACCTGCTGCCGCAGCCACCCCCGTCTGCTGGGCCTCCGACGGCTGCAGTCCACTGAAGAGGACCAAGGGAAGCAAAAGCTGCCAGAAGCTAGCAAAAACATAAAGCACTTCTTCTTGTCTATGTGTGATTTCTATCTAGGTAGAACAAAAGGACCTAATCTGGACACGGGGATAGGTTACTCCACAAAATTACATAAATAATATATACACATATTATATATATAATATATACATATTTGTCTATATAATTATACACATAATATGCACACATTATATACATATAGTATATGTATATAAACACATGTGTGTGTATATACATATGTACACATGCATACATACATATAACATTTAGAAGACTATGGCCTCCTTAGTACACAGGAAAGAAATGTGGAGTCCCCCTTGTGTCCCCTCACTTTGATGACTAAAGTTGAAGTCGTGAACTTGGCCAGGGCAATGACACGTACCTACAATCAAATCATAGAGGCCAGAGGATTGTGAGCTGGAGGCCAGTTGGAACCTCACTGAAAAATGGATAAACAAGGACTTTTTTTTAAATAGGCAGACAGAGTTCTGTGAGTTGGAGGCCAGCCTGGTCTACACAGCAAGTTTCAGGCTAGCCAGGGCTACATAGGCCTTGTCTCAGAGGAGAAAAGACGGCCAATGGGAAAGCTTAAGGAGCTCTGCCTGTATTAAATGTGATGTACAAGACAGGCGATTGCTGAGAGCAAGGCCAGTGCTGCCTGGGATGTGGAGGAAGGTAACCATAGTATAACTGATAGGACAGGAGGGGGTCAGTCCTAAGAGGCCAGCACACTCAAAGGACACGCAGGTCCTTGACGCTTCAGACTTGCCTTCTGCGGGACATGCACGGCAGAAGTACCTCAGTCACACAGTTTCCATCTTGTCTTTTCTCCCTCTTCCCATTCTCAACTTCCAGCCTCCACAAGCATCAAGGTCCTTGTTAGCCAGTCGATGGTGGCACACACCTTTAATCCCAGTACTTGGGAGGCAGAGGCAGGCGGATCTATGTGAGTTTGAGGCCAGCTTGGTCTACAAAGGACAGCCAAGGCTATACAGAGAAACCCTGTCTTGAAAATCAAACAAAACAAGAGCAAGATTTTACTTGTCTGTTATGTAGTAAACTTAACCCTTTTTGTTCTTTCTATTTCTCTTTCCTATTTCTTGGTTTTCTCTTGAAAGAGGTGGTGTGGACACAGATCCAGGCAAGGAGAAGCTGCAAACTTTAGAAGCTCATATGGAGGTGGGGAGAAGGGAAGAGGGTAGGGGTGGGGAGAAGGGGAGAGGGTAGGGGTGGGGAGAAGGGGAGAGGATAGGGGTGGGGAGAAGGGGAGAGGGTAGGGGGGGGAGAAGGGGAGGGGGTGGGGGCGAAGGGGCGGGGGGAGAGGGTGAGGCTCACGAATAGTTGTATGTGGTGGTTTGAATGAGAATGTCTTGGCTAAAGTCACCACATTGAGACCCAAACCAGAAGAAGCTGTCACTCCCCATGCCTGGGCATCTTAGTGGTCATCTTGTGGCTTTCCCTCTGACCCATGCCAGTGTACCACCTCTTCTGTGAATGTTGTAGCTCAGATCTCTTGATCTTACCATGATATCCATGTGGCAGCTTGTTTGTGAGCATTCGTGATACTCCAGGTTTTCCTGGGGGCAGGTGAGAATACATTAATGAGCAGGCAGAAAAAAATTTTTCCCTAATGGATTTTATAATAAACAAGCAAACAAACGAAATATATAGCCTGCTGTATGATAATAAATTCAATAGAGAAAATGAAACAGGATGGTTGGGTGGTCCTGACTTTAAATAGCCAGTGTTGATAGAAACCACTGGACTGTCTTTATCACGGGGCACTTTTTCTTCATAGGACACAGAGAATGAAAGAAAGGTAAAAGAGCCCCAAGGCAAAGCATAGATGAAGAGAAACAGGGCAAATTAAGTTCTAAGAGCTAGTGGGACAAGCATAAGATAAGATCAAAATTCATAATGAATATCAAGTCTCCGTGTCTTTATTTGGGAGCTGGTTGGTGGCCTGAAAGAAAGCCTTCTACATGTGTGTGTGTCTGTGTGTCTGTAGGTGTCTGCAGGTGTGCACATGCCACAACATGCATGTGGAGGTCCGAGGATGGCTTTCAGGACTTGGTTCTTGCCTTCTATCTTGTCAAGGCAAGGTCTCTCTTGTTTCCGCCACTGCACGGCATACAGCAGGCTAGCTAGCCCG